CTGGAAGAAATTTGGATAGGAACCTACTTTATTATTAATGCTCCATATTCACTGAACTCTAAGAGATTAGTAAAGTCTAGTTATTATATATTACTAATCAACTTAACTCATATTTAAATCTATTCATACAGTTAAAAGAATTTCCGAGAATTAAAAAAATTCCGAGAATATCGATCAAAGACAATCAAATCTTTTTATTTTTGTAAAAAGAAGCGCAAACTTTAATATAACCAAATACAAATTCATATCATTTTTTTTGACAATTTTTATAATAGGCCAGTTGAAACATTTTAACTCCCCGGATAGTTTATTTTAAAACACATTAACCCTTGAATTCAATATTCTTTATAATATGGGGAAATATTTAGACCTTACAAATAGTTTGTTAAATAAATAGAATTATTCTTTAATAAATAGTATTAATTATTTTTAAAATTGTCAACTGAGAATAAGGTGCGTTCATTATTTGTGTTTCCATGAAAATCAAGTTTAAAAATTTAATTTGTAAAGACTTTCACTTAGAATGTCTGACTAATTTTTAAATATTTTTAAAAGCTGTATCATTGATGAGACTAGATTTATTGGACACATACTTCATTGACTGTTGAATATTTGTTTATAAATTTATAAATTTTTTTGTAAAAAATAATTATAACGTACAACAATATAAAAAAGTACAATTGGCTGGAGCAAGAAGAAGGCATAAATTAGCCTTATCACCGAGCGCCAATAGTAACGCAAATAAATATACGTAATACAATCATTACTAAAATCATCGGGCAAGTAGTAAAAGTTTACGATTTGTGTAGTAGTCATTGCGGTTTATATTTGTATTTTTTGTTACAGGACTGAAACTGATTAGTTGTTAGGTTAATAATATTGTTCATTTGTTTTTAGTAAGCTAATAATTGTGAAATAGTTATATGTTTAATGTTGTTTAAAATATTCATTTATGTGATAATGTGCATTATTTATATATAAAAAAAAGTATAAAATTAAAAATTGATATAAATATAAATATAGTATTATGAAATTTATTACAATAGCTGTGTTTGTGAGTAATTTATAAGCAACAGCATTTTAAATAAAGGGAATTTTAAGATGTTAAGATATAAAAAAAAAGTAATTTAAAAAAAAAAAAAAAAAAAGATTAAAATATAGTAATAAAAATGACAAAAATCTTCTGTTTTTTGGTTATAAACTAAACGTAATTCGATATATATATATATATATATATATATATATATATATATATATATATATATATATATATATATATATATATATATATATATATATATATATATATATATATATATATATATATATATATATATATATATATATATATGTTGTATATATTATTTTTTTTTAAATAATTCGAAAATAAAATGATAAAATTTCTGTTACAATTTCATAAACCATTAAAGTCATAATAATAACTTTGCTCTTTTGTTAAATAGTCTAGAATTTTAAACTTATGAATTAATTTAAAACTTAATTTTAAACTAATTTAACAACTTTTAAAAGTGACAGAAAAAATTTGCTATATTAAAATCCGTAAGTACTAAATAACGCCTTAATTTAGATTTGAATTGCGGAAATGTTTTTTCTTTAATATTAACAATATGCTGAAAGTTTTTCCACAAAATTGGTCCCGGTACTGAATAGAATAAGAACATAACTTTATATTATATTTTGAGTTACAAAGTTATTTTCTGAGAACTTGGTGGGGTATTTATGGCTTACTTCCCTAAAATAAGGGTAGAATATTGTTGGAGACAGTCTATGCTTTATTTTATACATGAACTGTACATGAACTGTACATGACGAGGAATATTTTTTTTTATTATTTGTTATTTTAGCTGCCCCGAGAAGTCCTAACGGTCTTGTCACACAGCACCGCGGAAGTACATTTAACGAGAAAGTTCACGCCTCCTTTCTTACTGTGACGCGAAATATGTTCAAAGCTTGTTTCGAACCTGGATCTCCTGCTTATAAAGCAAGCGCTCTAATCACTTCGCCACGGCCGCACAATGCATTGAGTTTATGTAGAAGTGGCTCACAAGGAACAGTTCTTTTTGTTCTAAATACAATTCTACATGCATAAACATGCATGTAGAATTGTATTTAGAACAAATAGAACTGTGTTTAGTATAAATTTTCTTTAACTTTAGCTTGCCCATACAATATTGCCGTAAGTTAAATAGCTATGTATAAAGGAAAAATATAAACTTTGATAAAACTAAAAATCTTATATCTAAAAATAGTTTTGCTTTATACATGATTACAATATTTATTGAAAGTTTTCTTGAGAGCTTATATGTTTCCTCCATGTTAAGTTTTTATCTAAAATAACATCTAAGAAGTTTACAATTGTTTGTCTAGAAATACTTTATATTACTAATTTTAAGATAGGGTAATTTAAAAAATTTTTCTAAATATTTCATTTTTTCTCGACTGAAGAAATAGCAATAATTTTTTTTTCCTAATAAAAATAATTTTTTTTTTCAATTATTTACTTAGATAGTTTAACTTGTCTGTGAAAACTAATTCAAACCCACCTTAGAAAAATAGAGGAAAACTGTTTGTCACAATTTTAGATTTTCTGCTATGGATATACGTATATTATATTATGTATAACTATCTATAATAAAATCGTTAATAATGTCCAAAAGGAATTATTTGTTTAGCAATTATTGAAAAAGAAAGAAAATCAGATTCTCAAACTTTAAACTTGATTTTAACGAATAAATTTTAAAATAAATTTTAGTGAGTCACCAAAACAATAAAATGTGAAATAAAAATTTTTCTAAATATTTTATATAGACGTGTAAAACTTTCTAAATATTTTACATAGACGTGTAAAAATTGAAAAAAAAAACAACAAAAAAATGAAACACTAAATTATTTTACAATTAAAAAAAATTGTAATAAATTTTTTGAAAAGTAAACCTTTTTTTATTTTAGTTGAGGGTCAAAAAATACATTCTTAAATTTAAAGAATGTAGTGTTTAAACCTCCCTCAAAATTTAAATTTAAATTTATAAAACGTCCCCACGTCCTCCACCATATATTCTCAGTCTAAAGTTGAGTTTCCACTCATCCTTTTTTTCTCGGAAATTGGATAGGAAAGGCAAAAATAATCACGCGAGCATGCGTAATTTTGCTTTGGACATATTAAAACTTATACTACGCATGCCCACCTTATTATTTTTCCCGCCCCTTTCCCGTTACTGTGAAAAAACGGATGAGTGGAAACTCGCCTTTAGTAGTATAAATAAATAACAAATATGTTTAAAAAGTGTATTTCTAAGCCTGGAACTTTTTTTTATTTACATTTTTATGCCAAAACTTATATGCTGTAATGTTTTTTTTTTAAAACAAACTTTGATACTGTTTATATAAAACAGTATCAAAGCTTGTTTTAAAAAAAAAACATTACAGCTTGTTTTAAAAAAAAAACATTACATTTGTTCTCCACTTTTTTAAGTTTTGAGTTAAAACAATTTAAAAAGTATAAACTATAGGAGACGGCATAAAAAAACAACTTACAACTTAGGTTTCAATATAACAGAAAAAAATTATTCTGAGGTACATAAGACTATCAATTACTCAATATTTTGAAAAATTGGAGATAGAACAAGATTATTAGAACGTCGCGATATGTACAAATGTACATTTGAAGTAGGTAGGCTTTCAACCACTTTCTAAAATACTTGGAAAATGAAATTTTACCTTCTTATTAATACTTAAAAATACAAGTTGTTAACTTTTACAGCCATTAGGATAAAAGTAAATTATTAAACTTTTTTATTGAGGGAATTTAAGCCACGAATACCTTATATTTTTGAATACAAAACTAATACAGTTCGATAAAAAAATACCGCAGAAAAGCGTGTTTTTTAATTTGAAATAATTTTCTATCGCTTTTCTAAAAACTTTTTAAAAAAACACCCGTTAAAATACGTTATATTTGCCTAAATAATATCTTTAAAGTAACCTTTTTTAGTGAATATTTTTACTAAAGTTCAATAAATGCAGGTAAAATTTTGAGGGATGCATCTTATTTTGGATTATGGAGTGGGAGATTTTTAACGCTAATTTACCACCATGAACCGTAAAAAGAATTCTAACAAAACTTAATCATCCCAAAAATGAATTTAATAAAATATTTTGTCTTGTTAATCATATTGCTTTTGCTTATCTATTGACACATTGCAATAGAAATGATAAATATATTTAAGGGTTTTCGTTTTTCTTTGCCTTTCAAAGTTAAACGAAGTCAAATAGCGAATATTCGTTTAACTTCGTTATGAATTCAACTTCTTTGTGAATTATTCGTTAAGCATACTAGTAATAGTATATTTACTAGTAATAATATAATATATTATTACTAAATATAAAATAGTATAGTATAATAGTAAAACATAAAATTGTCAGGGAATAGTTCAAAAAATATACTATTTTTATTTATTAGTTTATTTATTTTTGTCAAGTAACCATTTACAATTAAAGATAATTTCCGATAAAATATTAAAAAATTAAATACTAGTACATTTCATTATTTATAGTACTTATAGATCGGAGAACATGAAGAAGATATAATCTTATCATCAGTAATCTTCGGTAATAAAAATTGGAAATAAAAGTGTATTGTTAAAAAAAATCATGTAAAGAATCTTGACTGGCAATAACTTCGATTATGTTCTTTTTAAAATTTTGAGAGGCATTGGCTTCTTTAAGTTTACAACTAAGGCTTGTAAAATGGTTCCATAGCATTGGGCCACGATAGGAAATGGCAAAACTCGTAAGTTTTGATATAAAGAAAGGTTTTTTAAATCTTCCGGTATATCGAGTGTTGTATCGGTTTAATGTTTTAGGGAAAATATTTTCGACAACCTTTTGACTGATGTTAAAACATAAATTATGTAATTTTGAAAATTTTAGTATTTGCTATTAGTTACAATCGTTTACGGAGATTTAAAGAAAGTAATTTAGTGTTATATAAAGTATTTTAGGCACTTTTAAGAACGTTTTAACTCAATTAGTACAGATTGACGAAGCTACTAGTTTAAATAAAGTTGAGAGACAAATATGTTAGTGCTGTTACTTTCGGCAAGTTAATATTAGCCTTTGTTTAAATTAGTTGCTTAATGTTGTTTTGAAATTTGACATATACAATGAGAAAATAGATAAGGAGAATCAATGCCGCACATTTAGGGAAATGATCTATAATTTTTAGGGTTTTCGTTCCCAGGCTTTAACTAAGTAATTGAGGGCATTTTAATGCCATAAGTATAAAATGCAAATATTTTGAGTTAAGAACATACATGCTAGTTAACCCATATACTTAACCCAAATTCTATCCTGGATCCGCCCCTGATTACCATAGAAAATCCTGGATCCGCCCCTTATTACCATAGAAAATCCTGGATCCGCCCCTTGATCATCATATGACTTGTGAGACAAACATTTTATAAGAATAAAACACGCATAAAAACGCAAAGCATTAATTCTATTTACTATATAAACCTTCATGTCTATATTGACAATATTGTTAATTTATAAATATAATATAACATGTATATATATATATATATATATATATATATATATATATATATATATATATATATATATATATATATATATATATATATATATATATATATATATATATATATATATATATATATATATATATATATAGCTATTCCAGTTAATATATATATAAAAAAAATAAAAACTGCAAATTTTTATGAAACACCGAAAAATTATATGAACTGTAAGAATGTATGTATGCAAGGAATATGTAATGTTCCAAACAATTCTATGATGCCTAATTGCTATTCATAAATTTAGGTGTATTGCATAGTTATACTACTGCTTAATTATAGCTGTTATATATAATTGAATTATAACTATTACGCATAACTAAGTCATAAGTTTATATCATTGTGAAATTGTTACACGAGTGCTATTGCTAAGCCTATTAAATTCATTGAAGCTATTTTTTGGAGAAGTTATGATTGATCCGAATCGAAAATCTTTAGGAAGGTGATTCCCTTTTAAAGCATCCTCTCGGGTGAGTATAATCTAAAAATAATTTTTTTTTAAAGATTAACTCCTTTCTGCAGTCTCGATACACATTAAAACTTTTTTTTTTACGTAACGAGTGATATGTAATAATCCGAAATAAGTTTAAAATATCGAAATGACTCAATAAAAAATAAAAAACAATATTTAAAAAAAGTTTTATAACATATTTAATGATTTTTTTATTTTTTTACTCGTCTTCTATCGTTCCTCTTCGTTGAAAACAATCTAATCGAGACTTCATCCCTCTAACTAGCTCTTGCACGCGTTCCATATCAAGTTCAGTTAAAAAAATTTCTATTCTTGTTCAGAGTTGATTAGTATCTGAAGCACACCAGTTATTTTCTCTTTTCAATTGAGACCAAAAGTCCTAAATAGGTCTACACTCTAGGATATTTGCAGGGTTTTTTTCCTTGGGTACCACTGGATCATTATTTTAAATTAAATCACCATTTTTCTATATCAGCTAAATCTGGCCAAATTTGTAATTGTGATCAAAATGGTATCAAATCTAGCTTCTAAACATTCATTCTTATATACATATTGGTTAATAGGAAAGCCACTTTCATTAACCGATGATTCAGCAAATCTTCTACATGAAAATGTTATCCAAACTAGTACTTTAGCTTAGACGTTTTTGTATATTTCATTGATGGAGGTAGGAGACGTTTTTGTATATTTCATTGATGGAGGAGCATTTGTTGTATCATCAGTATAATAGAATCTATTTCCATTAATAGTTAAACGTGAAAGTGCGAAATGTGATTCATCATCCAAAGCCCAATCATAATCCTTGTAATTCATATATAGGAAGCAACATTTGCTTCTCGCTTCTACCATTTGAGCAAAACCTCTGCCTGGTATTTTAGTTTTTTTGAAACAATTAATCCCTAGTTTAAAAGGTTAGACATAAAAAAAAAATTCTAACTTGTTTAAGAAAATGCTTCTTTGTTTGACCATAACCATTAAATATATAATCAGCAAAGAAAAGATGACCACCTTGATACATCTAAAAATACTGACTTATTTTATTGCTTATGTTAGATTTTTAAAAGAATCTACAAATAAAGAGATAAAACAACAATAAAAATACAAATAAACAATAAAAATAAAATCAAAAAATAACAAAAAAAAACTACAAATAATGAAAGAAATAAAAACTAAAAACAGCTACAACAATCTATAATCGTATTCTCCAACTAACTGGAGAGAAAACAATCAATCAAAATAAACGATTTTGTTTGATAAATATTAAACAATGTCGTTTGAGAAATATTTAACGATGTCGTTTGAGAAATATTTAACGATATCGTTTGAGAAATAAAAAACGTTTGAGATGAAACTTTGTCGTTTAAGAAAAAATAAATATTCTGAGCAATAACAAAAATATATAGATCATCCAGGCCATATTTTAAAAATCCGGAATAATGTTCCGGAAAAAATCAAGAATATATATTCCCGTATATTCCTCTAAATTTTGATTTTAACTGCAATGTTTCTAATTCCTTTTTTAACTTTTATTAATTTTTGTATGAGTAATGAGTGAAAAAACTTTAAAAACAAATATATTACATAAATATATACCTAAACTTGTGTGTATGGAAAATATTCTAGATATATACCTAAACTTGTGTGTATGGAAAATATTCTAAAACTATAGTTAATAAAATTATCCGGAATTCCGGAAATATACAGAAAAAGATAATTCCTGACAACAATAACAGCGAAAAACAATACAAACAAAAACAACAATGTTAGTAATAACTTTATTAGTTTTAAAATCATCATCATCATCATCGTCATCATCATTATCATCATCAATAATTATAATTATCACTATCGTCATCATCATCAAAATCATAATTATCATCATCATCACCACAACTATCATCAACCATCATCATCATCATCATCATCATCATCATCATCATCATCATCATCATCATCATCATCATCATCATCATCATCATCATCATCATCATCATCACTATCAATCATCATCATCATTATCATCATCATCATTGTCATATAATAATAATATAATAATAATAATAATAGCAATAATAATAATAGCAATAATAATAATAATAATAATAAATAATAATAAAATAAAAGACTAGTAAAGTTGAAGATTTTGGAAATGAATTTCTACCCCAAAAATTTAGTCACCTTGTAATTTTATGTAATAAATACTATATTTATTTTTGCAACTTTAACAAACTGTTATATTACCAACTATCTTTGTCACCAAATAAATTCATTTTTAAGTAAGACATTTTTGAAACATATCTTAAGTATGCCTTTGGATGGACCAGAAGGGCCTAGGATATAAATGAAAGGAGAAAGTAGAAAAGCTGTGCCCAAATATGGATGTGAGATGGGCTGATAAAAAAGTCAATGTAGATAAAACGGTGGAGTAGAATCGTAGGTTCCAAGTGTTAGACAATCGGTCATTTCAATAACATGTTTTGTGACATAGTTTAGTGCTAAAACAAGATATTTCATTTTACTCTTTTAAAAATAGTTTAGTAATTTTTAGTTAAATTAATTTTTGTTTTAAACTCTGATCAATGTTATTCAACAGTATAATATTTATTAATTACCATCCTTTTAAAACAACAGTATAATATTTATTAATTACCATCCTTTTAAAACAACAGTATAATATTTATTAATTACCATCCTTTTAAAACAACAGTATAATATTTATTAATTACCATCCTTTTAAAACAACAGTATAATATTTATTAATTACCATCCTTTTAAAACAACAGTATAATATTTATTAATTACCATCCTTTTAAAACAACAGTATAATATTTATTAATTACCATCCTTTTAAAACAACAGTATAATATTTATAAATTACCATCCTTTTAAAACAACAGTATAATATTTATTAATTACCATCCTTTTAAAACAACAGTATAATATTTACTAATTACCATCCTTTTAAAACAACAGTATAATATTTATTAACTACCATCCTTTTAAAACAACAGTATAACATTTATTAATTACCATCCTTTTAAAACAACAGTATAATATTTATTAATTACCATCCTTTTAAAACAATTATCATATAAGTTTGTGAAAAGAAAACTGCAATGCCGCACAAGTAGTAAAAAGGAATAAAAAAAAAAAAAAGGTCAAAATTTTTAAATTACCATAAACATTCCACAGCAAACGTTGTGGCGTTTCACAAGTAATGGAGGTTCCTCATTTAAAGAACGGTCAATTGGATAACGTAATAAACGATATGGATCATTGATAGACTAACAAAAAATATATTTAATTTTGTATATAAAATTTTTATAATTATATTTTTTAAAATCTTTAGATCAATAGTAGAGTATTTATAAATAAATTTAAATTTTGTCTTACAACTTTTTATTTAAATGCAGACTTCTCATTTTACATTAATCAATTACCAATTCACCAATAAATCCATTAATATTTTAAACAATATTAATAAATTAATTCTGTTATCGTTGTTAATAATTCAGCATTAAAAACAAAATTGAAAAAAACCTTTGTATTTTTACAACACAGCTAATAAAAAGCTAAAAGGAGCTAAAAAACTGTTAAATCTTCAAATTCTCATATATTGTTTTTTTAGTTCAGCAAAAACTAAATATTTACAAAAAGCTCATAATTTTATATGCCTTTTTTTAAGTTTTACTGCACAGTTAAAAAGCTGTCTGACAATATCTTGCATGTATCTTGTATGGTGATGCCAGGCAAAAAGTTTTTCATTTGATTTCTGAAAAAATTTTGGAAAAAATGTTGACTTAATTGTTAAATTTTAGCATCTAAAAAATCTTTTATACAGGGTGACCAGAAAAAACGGAAACAAACATTTTTAATCATTTTTTATTAAACCAACAAATATTAAGTAAAACAAACGATGACAAACAACAACATGGACCTTCTGTAACAATATACTCAGCCGGTTTCGAAGTGGCCTCCTCCCGCGGCAATACATAAGCCCAAACGCATCTGGAAATTTTCAGCGATGGACTGCAGGTCTTCTAACGACAATCGATTCCATTCTCGGCGCAACAATTGCTTCAGCAACTCCAAACTTTTGTGGCGTATATCACAGGCTCAGGCCTCCAAAATTGACCACACGCTGTAATCCATCAGGTTGAGATCTAGTGAGTAGGGCGTCCATTCCGAAATGCAATGAAGTCCGGAAAATGGGTCCGACACCAGTATTGAGTCATTTTTGCCAGGCGAATTTTTGCATGGAAACCCTCAAATTTCGCTTGACTCGCTTCCTGATGATCTGGCAGTTGGCGGACATGTTGACGGTGCGTCTTCTACCATTTCTTGGACGGCGACCATCGTGGCCGAACTCTTTGTAATGATTGACGGCATTGGACACAGTTTGCTTAGGCACATTAAGCAAGCAAATAATATCACATTGACACATTCCTTTACGAAACAACAAATTTACAAAATTTTTATAATCAGGACATATTAAATTTTTCTCTGTTTTTTATGGTCACCCTGTATATACCATATTTATTTTCAATAAATAACCATATTTATTATGAACAATAATCTTTGCAATAACTTCATCACCATCATTGAATAACATCAGCATTTTTACAACTTTAACATTACCTTATCAAATTATTCTCCATCGACAGCTATTCACTGCACTCTTATTACAGTATAAACTATTTCATCTGATTAAATATTATCTCATTGAAGTAATTCTTATAATATTTTATTAAAGGCCTATGCATTGAAATCATCTGCGCATAGCTGTCTGCAGTTTCTAAAAAACTGTTAAGTTTGTATATCAATAATCAGGAAATGTTAAATTAAATTTCCTTTCGGTATCTGTTCAAGATATCATTCATACCATTTTTGAAAATGTTGATCTATTAATTCTCTCTTAACCTAATATCTCTAAAACAAAATCATGAAAACAAGGTTGGTCGATTAAATTAATTAACAAAGTTGATATTTCCTAGCTATATTATAATAAATACTTATGCCTGTAATAAATTACTTTTTTAATAACAATGATATTTGTAATTTAATATTATCTTTGTAATTTAATATTATCTTTTTAAATAAAATTGTCACTAAAAAAATATTTATTTGTTATTTAATTTTATTTTTCTCAACATGTCATGTCTTAAAAACTTGATTTCTTTTCATTGTTTGTTTTGTTTTTTTAAAGTTTCTTTTTGTTAATTTCAAATTACGTAATTTCATTTCGGTTTTTGTTTTTTTTTAGTTTTTATTCCATTTGTTTATTCTGACTTTTTTGATTTTTTGTTAAAAAAAAAACAACAAAACCATTTTTATTAAAAAAACATTTCTGTGAAAAAATTTAAATAAAAAACATAAATTGTTAATTAACAAAAGTATGTAAATCAAGTAAAAAATAATAATATATTTAAAAAAGGTACTTGAACACATGGATAAGTTCTATTCTTATTAAGCTGTTGATAGAGTTTTTGCATGTAGATATCTGCAGAACTACTTTTCTTTCTAAAATACAATCATTCTATGTTTCTAAAACTTTCTTTGTTAAACATATGACTAATGACAACTTTTAAACAATAAGAAAATAATAAATCTTAAGATGTATGTTTCTAAAACTTTCTTTCTTAAACATATGATCAATGACATTTTTTTAAAGAATAACAAAATAATAAATCATAAAATGTAACTAGATTAACGAGAAAAAAAGATTAAAATAAAAAGTTACAATTTTATATAAAGAACAGAAATTTGACGACTTAAGTATGAGATGAAGACTTTTTATCTTTTATTACAATATTGTTAAATGATGGTATTATTTAAATAAAAAATTGTTTATTTAAACAATATCATCAAGAACTTGGCATATCTAGATTTTTTAGACCACCCCTAATATAAAGTCAACAACTTTTATTTGAGTATCAATTTTTAATTATGCAAAATATCAATAATTATGCAGAATACCAGTGCCAACAACAACAAACTATATATTTTCTTTTTATAATCATTTGCAATAATAATAATAATAATAATAATAATAATAATAATATAACAAGATTATTAATAACAAGAGTAATAACAATTAATAATTAACAATTTAATACTAAATTAATTATTAAAATTGTTATATATATATATATATATATATATATATATATATATATATATATATATATATATATATATATATATATATATATATATATATATATATATATATATATATATATATATATATATAAACACACACACACACACACACACACATAATAACAATGACTATAATAATTATAAGTAAAATGATACTTTATAATGTTAAATTAATGAATTAACAAAGATGGTGTCACTTACGCAAAAATCTGAATAAAGGAGTGACACTAAGTAATAAATAAGATATAACAAATAATAAGCATTAAGATATAAAGTATATACATAAAAAAAGTAAATGTGTAAAAATCATAATTTGCAGGTAATAATTAAAGTAAATCAATGATAATCATAATAATTGTAGTAAAAATAAATAAAAGAATAAAATCAAATAAATAAAAAAGAATAAACATAAATAAGAAATTTTTTAAAAAATATTATCAACTAAAACTTTTTATTTAGAATTTTTATAATTGATTTTGTTTAAGAAAAAGAAAAGATATTTGAAATTGTAGTTTTTTGAACTTTAAACTCCTCTATTCTCTTTCTATGCCACATGTTAAATCTTTTAAAAAGCTGCAATTTCTCTATCACTTTCTATTTAACTATGGTTGCTCAATCCCCATAAATACCCATGGATATATGGAGATCATTACTCAAAACTTTTGTTAATTACATATAGTATATGAGCATGCTTGGAAGTTGATACATGCACATATGTTGGGTACATGTAGTACAAAAATGAATATGGTATGATATTAAAGGAATAAAGTATTGTTATCAAAGCAATTAAAAATATAAATATATTTTTTATATATTGAAAACATGAACAAAACAACTATCACAAATGTGTAAACATCTAAAAAAAATAAAAATTACTATAAACCTGATAGTATAAGTTTTTTTTTTTATATGATAATTTTTTTTTGATAACTTTATTGATAACTTAGCTGAATTTACCTCACAAGATCGAGGGGGCCACTAAAGTTATGGAGGCTACTTGTTTTCATTTTTTATATAGCTGTTACATCAGTCTTTTATTATTTAATAGTATTTACTATATTTTTTATAGTATTTACTATATTTATTTAAATAAAACAAGACTCATAAGAAACCACATGGGTGCGCTTAATTGTATGTTTATATATATTCAATAATAAACTTATGCTAGTAATTAATTTATGCAAAAACTAATTTGAACAAATTTGTAACAATTTAATTATGATAACAACTTCAATAAAAAATGATAATAATAAAATGAAGAAATTAGAAGAAATGATTATAATAAAATTAAACAGATGAAACAGATAATTAAATATAACAATAACAATAATAATAATAATAATAATAACAGTAGTAATAACAAAACATTCAACTCTTTTTAATAACTCAAGTGCTTCAGTGACAATAAAATTGTTACTCTCACAGGTATGTCTTTGAAAACTTAGTATTTAAATGTTCATTAACAAAGCACCTCTGATTTGCATGATGATAATTAAAATAACCATGATTTCCTATTAAAACATTTAACGCATGAGGATATTAGATGTTCATTAAAACATGCAGCGAAATTCTGTTAGCCAAAATATGCAAAAATTTGTTTTGAGATTGGTCGTTGATCAAATAAAAATCTGAAACTTTATGTTCGTCACGTTATTTATAATGAAGAGATTAGAAGAAGAATTAAAGAGCTTATAAACGATAACACAATGACAACTATAATTGAAATTAAATATGCTTAAAATGTAAATGTATCGATTAAAATTGTCTGGAGATGGGTAACCAATATTGGATACACACATAAAATTACTTAACCAATTTATGAAAGAAGAAACAACAATGATGTTAAAAATCTTCGTATTGAATATGTTAGGTGGTATACTTCAATCTTGTCTATTAATCGCTATCGAAATATTGTTTTTATTGATAAAAGTTCATTTAATTTACACATATTTTGCAGTCATTCATGGGCAAGAAGAAGATTAACACCAAATCCGATCATTCTCCCTCGACAGCATAAAGTTTCGATGATATTTGTCGTCAATAATTTAAATATTATTCACTGCGAAGCTGTTAGTGTGTCAGTCAACACAGTTTTGTTTCAAGAATATATTGATAAAGTTGTACAAGTTTTGGGGACAGAGGAATAATTCACCCTGGTGATGGATAATGTCAGAATCCATCATAATGTTGAGATGAGGGCTCAGAACATTCAAATAAAATATTTGCTACCATATTCACCATTCTTGAATCCGTGTGAAGAGATTTTTTTTTATCTTAAGAATTACGTGCGAAGAAATATAGCCCCAGCTGGAAGAAATTAACTAATTTAATGAATGCACAAGGCATGCTTATCTCTTCCTAATGTTAACTTATCGAACTATTACACAGACTGCAAAAGTTTTTTCAAAGAGTGTCAGATGACATATCTTGACAGTAATTGGAAAATAAAGATATTTTGAATAAAATAAAATTTTAAATAATTTTAGAAAATTGAATAAAAATAAATAAAAATATATAAAGAAAACCTTTTTTTTTAAAACAATATAGAATGTTGAGATTGCACAAGCATTAAATGTTTTAATTGAAGATCAAGATTGTTTTAATTGAAAATGACATTGTTTTAATTGATTGTCACGATGTTTTAAATGAATGTCATGGTTGTTTTAAATGGTTGTCATGTTTGTTTTAAATGGATGTAAAAACTGGTAATACTACATTCAATTTTTTTTTATTATTACATCGAATTTATTTGAAAGAAGTTCATAAGCTTTCATTTTTTTCATTGTTTCATTCATTTAATTAAAGTATAAATTCGTAATGTTTTTGCATCATTAAAACATTAAAACAATGAAATAAAGATTTCTTTTCGTTAAAACAAATTTAATGTTTTTTCGTTGCTAACGCTAATAGAACTTTTATAACTTATTCATCAAACATTTTCACAAACCTAAACTTTTCTTTTTCTCAAATAAGTTTATAATCTTAATTAAGTTATAGATAATATAAGTTCAACAGAATTAATGACGTAAGTTAACATGAAAAAATGGGTTTTTAAATTGAGTGCTAAAAGCAATCAAGTCACAAAATAAATGTTTTGAGAAAATCTTTTTTGATCGGAGATATAACACTAAAAGTCAGGATTTAAAATGGCTAATCAAAATAGATTTTTTCAAAACATTTTTTTTGTGACTTAAGTACTTTTAGCACTAAGCACTAATTATAAGATTTACTCAGTTGAAAAAACACAATTAAAGATATGTGAATACAGATTATTTTATTTTTAACAATAAGCAAACTGTTTTGTTTAATTAAACAAGAATCTTTAACAAAAACTTTCTATAAAAAAAATTTAATATAAAATTAAGTAAACCATTATTAGTTTTCAAAAACTAATAATGATTTACTTAATTTTAATAATATATATATATATATATATATATATATATATATATATATATATATATATATATATATATATATATATATATATATATATATATATATATATATATATATATATACTCTTGCATGGTAGTTAAAAAGAGTTTCCCATAAACTGTAGTTTTAAAGAGCGCGTTAATAAACCAGACCAGAAAAAGTTTAAAAATTTAAATTTTTTTTTTTTTTAAAATGATAGACTGCCTGCCCAAACCAAACCCTCAGTCGATGTAGCAGCACTCCCTTGCGAGTCAGGCTATTTGTCAGTCGATGTAGCAGCACTCCGTTGCGAGTCAGGCTATTTGTCAGTTGAGTTAGCAGCACTCCGTTGCGAGTCAGGCTATTTGTCAGTCGATGTAGCAGCACTCTGTTGCGAGTCAGGCTATAAGATAGTCGATGTAGCAACATTTACGCATGTTTTAAAAATGTTTTTTAATAAAACAAAAACAAAAACACCACTAATTAAAAAAAACTTTCTAGTCGTTGTTATTGCGGTTTTTTAAAAATTTTTTAAAAAACAATAAAATTTAATGTACTTCCGCATTAATTTAATTGCTTTGACATTTCGACGACAATCAAATACAGCTTAAGAGACGAGGTAATTAAAATTGTAGTCGAAAGAAACTTTTTTTACATTAAACGAATCTTTCGACTACACTATAAGGATATATATATATATATATATATATATATATATATATTATATATATATATATATATATATATACTCTTGCATGGTAGTTAAAAAGAGTTTCCCATAAACTGTAGTTTTAAAGAGCGCGTTAATAAACCAGACCAGAAAAAGTTTAAAAATTTAAATTTTTTTTTTTTTTTTAATGATAGACTGCCTGCCCAAACCAAACCCTCAGTCGATGTAGCAGCACTCCATTGCGAGTCAGGCTATTTGTCAGTCGTTGTAGCAGCACTCTCTTGCGAGTCAGGCTATTTGTCAGTCGATGTAGCAGCACTCCTTTGCGAGTCAGGCTATTTGTCAGTTGAGTTAGCAGCACTCCGTTGCGAGTCAGGCTATTTGTCAGTCAATGTAGCAGCACTCTGTTGTGAGTCAGGCTATAAGATAGTCGATGTAGCAACATTTACGCATGTTTTAAAAATGTTTTTTAATAAAACAAAAACAAAAACACCACTAATTAAAAAAAACATTCTAGTCGTTATTATTGCGGTTTTTTAAAAATTTTTTAAAAAACAATAAAATTTAATGTACTTCCGCATTAATTTAATTGCTTTGACATTTCGACGACAATCAAATACAGCTTAAGAGACGAGGTAATTAAAATTGTAGTCGAAAGAAACTTTTTTTACATTAAACGAATCTTTCGACTACACTATAAGGATATATATATATATATATATATATATATATATATATATATATATATATACATATATATATATATATATATATATATATATATATATATATATATATATATATATATATATATATATATATATATATACTCTTGCATGGTAGTTAAAAAGAGTTTCCCATAAACTGTAGTTTTAAAGAGCGCGTTAATAAACCAGACCAGAAAAAGTTTAAAAATTTAAATTTTTTTTTTTTTTAAAATGATAGACTGCCTGCCCAAACCAAACCCTCAGTCGATGTAGCAGCACTCCCTTGCCAGTCAGGCTATTTGTCAGTCGATGTAGCAGCACTCCGTTGCGAGTCAGGCTATAAGATAGTTGATGTTGCAACATTTACGCATGTTTTAAAAATGTTTTTTAATAAAACAAAAACAAAAACACTACAAATTAAAAAAAACTTTCTAGTCGTTATTATTGCGGTTTTTTTAAAAATTTTTAAAAAACAATAAAATTTAATGTACTTCCGCATTAATTTAATTGCTTTGACATTTCGACAACAATCAAATACAGCTTAAGAGACTAGTTAATTAAAATTGTAGCCGTAAGAGACTTTTTTTACATTAAACAACTCTTTCGACTACACTATAAGGATATATATATATATATATATATATATATATATATATATATATATATATATATATATATATATATATATATATATATATATATATATAACTCTAACCACTGCGCCACAGCTGCTCTTAAAATACAGGATGCATGGGTTTTGCTTGTGTCTCTATTTTTATGACTAGGCAACTCATTCTATTATCTCCTATTATTTTCTGATTATTATTAAAGCATTTTAATCAAATTATGTATGTATAAAAGAAAATATATAAATACCCTGTTTCAACCAAGCTTACAACAAGAAGTTGTGTTTTTGGAAGTTCATTCAAAAATAGGTCAAACTCCATATCGGTTATGAGAGGCACATGTTTTTTATCACATCTATAAACACAGTTTATAACCTATAAATTTGTAATAACTAATTGAAAAAAATTATGTAAAATAAAATCTTATGATTTCATCATTCACATGGAAAAACAAGATTTCTAACCTGCAATAAAACTGTTTACCAGTCATCAATTCTGTTTTTAATGCACTTTCAGGTTAAGTAGCTTAAATTTTTATACCAAATACTTTATTATGAATCATAATATTATAAATACATTATTTCAAACTTACAAATACAATAATGATGCAAAAGTTACTGAAGTTTTCAGAAAAATATTTTGAAAAATTTAGAGTTTAGTTTTATTTTAGATAATTTTATTTTACATAATTTTTGTTTCAATGAAATTGTTAGCTACAAGTGAATTTTCAAAGTATATTTCATATATTTTTTATAATATATTATATGCCATATAAATATATTTTATATAAAATGACTTTGTTAGGTAAGTTAAAAGTAACAAGTTTTTTTAAAAAAAATAGTCTGTTGGCAAAAGTCAAACGAGCAGAGCAAATGAAGTAACACTTCCCAGCCAGTAACTTTTGCTGTACTGATTTTGCAGTAAAATTTTTTTTTTTTTGCAAGTTTTTCTTGAAGGGATCCCATAATGCAAAGACAAGTTGTGTTCATGTTAAAGAAAATGATAAAAAAAAAAATATTTGGGCAGAGTTTTTTTAAGTAAAACAAAATAATAAATGTATACCAAGAAAAACAAACTTTGTTGTTTTACTTGAAGCTTGCTGTCTCCATGTTAACCAGTGTCTTAAAAATATGTGCAGTAATCTACAGATTTAATAACTTATTCAAGCGTGTTTAATTCCAAAGAGTTTTAGTAAATGATGCCATTGTAGAATTTTTTGGAATCAATATTATTTATTTTTTAAAATAAGCGTTTATTATCCATTGTATGACTTTCCTATAAGTTTTATAGGAAGCTAAACAAAAGAATGTTTTTTTTATAGAGCGCGAAAACCATATAGAATTTAAATTTTTATTTTAAAATATAACAAATATAAAAATTATTCCCTTAAATATAATAAATAATTCAAAAAGATGTTAATCATCTTATTATATATTCTGAATCTTTTTTCTTTTGATGTAAACAATGTGAACTTTTTTTTGTGAACGTAGTTGGCAAGTATTTTACATTAAAACCTGCCTCTTAAAATTAGAAATCAAAAAACTACCAAAGTTGAAAATAAAAAGTTTTTCATTAAAACGATTTCAATTTTAAAATTGACATAATAATGCTAGACTTTTTTGCAATCTTGACCGATAATTGTTTAATTTTAAAAATAAAATAAAATAAACAATACATGTTTTACAGAATAAAGTTCATTAAATATATTCTCGCATGATTAAATAAGAATTTCGAGAATATTTGTACCTGATGAAAAGCAAATAAATGCTGTCAATTAAACTTTCATAAAGTTAACTATCAGCCGTTTTAACAAAGATCTTTGCGCTGCGACATTACATTTTTTTGAATAGACTTTGAAAATAAAATTCAAATACTAAACCACTTTAAAAGCATGGCGAACTCTGTATTAGTGGAAAGCTAAACAAATGAACTTTTTAATTAAATAAGTTTTTAACAAGCATTATTGAACATTAAGAAATGCAAACTTGCTTAAACCCATTGCTTTTTAAAATGAAAACTAAAACATTAATCCCAAAACAAAACTCATTTAATGTATAAAAAGAATGCTTTTCTTCAAAAGACATTATTTAATTACTTCTGCAAGTTGGATTTGGACTTACACTTCTACGGGTTAAATTTTACAGTGCTTACGCTGCTTTATTTTAGAACTAAATTTAAAGTGTTTCTTTTTTATCAAGGATTACTCAAGATTTTTTACCTTTGCCAAATGATAACTGTTTATAATAACAAAATATGGCTCTTATTTGTTCTTGATTATGTAGAGAATTATATAAACTTTAAGAACAAACTAATTACATGTGTCTAGAGTGAAAATTTATGTACAAATCAAGATAAATTGTGAAGCATACTTGTTAAATAATACAATATAATTTTTTTAACAGAATCTTAATAATGATAATAGTCATTTAATAACATAAAATAAAACACAAAAATAATTTATAACAATAGACAAGCTTAAAATATCTGAAATATTTTATTCATATTTCTAATGCGGGAAATTAAGAAAATAAAATAACTAAAGAAATTCCACAGTAATTTATAAGAAAAAAAATTTTTTTTATATAACAATAAGTAACTAAACAAATTTTTTAGTAATTTAAATTTTAGTAATGAAAAAAAAAAGAAAAAAAATTCTATAATTAAATAAAAAATAATTATTAGATTTCTTATCAAATTTCTACAATGATATCATTTATTAAAACTCTTTAGAATTAAATGTGCTTGAATTAATTATAAAGACAGTAGATTGTGGCATATATTTTAAAGACTTTGAGAGACTGGCTAACATGGAGACGGCGAGCTTCAAGTAAAACAACAAAGTTTGTTTTTCTTGGCATACCTATATTATTTTGTTTTACTTAGAAAAATTCTGCCCAAAAATTTTTTTTTACCATTCTTTTTAATACAAACAAACTTGTCTTTGTACTTTGGGATCCTTTTAAAGCTTTTTGAGATAAGCACACTTGGTTGCTGTCATAATTATGGTGTTCAGTAGAAGCAGTTGCCAATGTACACAAGGCTACACATGTCCGACCAAAATTTATTTTATGTGTAGGCTAACTTTTAGAGTTAGTTTTGGAGTTGTTCTGGCCCTAGTCACTTCTAGGCATGGTTTACATAGCATTCCTTAAGGGTACACCCATCTCAAGTCATCTCAATATTCTAGTCACTTCTAGGTGTGGTTTACATAGTGTACCTAGGGTTCAAGTGATAACATTGTTAAACCAATTAAAGGTGAATGAAAAGATAATTATGCAGGTTACTGACCTACCTTTATTTATTTTGTGTGACATCCTAACTTAGACCTTTTTTTTTTTATTCCAATGGTATTTTTTAAAACAACAAATGCATCGAAGTTTGCTTGCTACAAAGTACCTAGTAAAACCTAGATTGTTTTCAGTTAGCTGCTTTAAATGCACCAAACTCAAAACAATTTAAAAAAAAATCACATTGCTTTTTACCTAACCTAGTAATTTCTGCTAAACTTTTTAATAACATTATCCACAAATAATTGTAATAACTTTACAATGCACAAATATTATTTTATAAGCAACAAGAAATTAGTAAGTAACTGGGGCCCCAGTCCCAGCTTAAAATGGTTTAGAAACACGACCCTCTAACAAGGTTGCAAGCAACCACTATTAAGCTATAAGTTACTAGAAAACAAGGGTTAATGACTTGAAATGAAGACTTAAAATGTTGTAGTTTGTACGAGTCAGTAAAATATGAAGAAGAATAAGAGTTTTAAGGTTTTGTTGATGTGGGAGGAAAAAAACCTGATGAATAAAAACTATTTGACAGAGAAGATAAAAGTGGCTTGGGTATCATCATGTAGAGACATATCAGCTTCAGGAGGAAATGATAGAGGTAGAAGTAAGAAAAATTGGAGTGCATTACAGGTGTTATGAATAAACTTTATTTAAGGAAAGAAAATGCTTTAAATATATTTGAAAAACAGCATAAAAAAGGCTCGGTGATTATGATTATTATTTCAGACTTTTGATAACATTTATGTTATCAAAAGCTGTCATGATGATAATCATTATCATAATCACCAAGCTTAAGCCTCGCCTTTTTTATGCTGTTTTTCTAATATATTTAAAGCATTTTTTTTCCTTAAATAAAGCTTATTCATAACATCTGTAATGCACTCCAATTTTTCTTACTTCTACCTCTATCATTTCCTCCTGAAGCTGCTAAGTCTCTACATGATGATACCCAAGATATCTCCAATTTTTCTTGATGATATCTCCAATTTTTCTTATTTCTACCTCTACAATTTCCTCCTGAAGTTGCTAATAATAAATAATAATCATGATGATAATAAACGTATCAATACTTTTAATACCTTTTTATCAAAAAATTTAATAATATTTATTGTTAATATATATATATATATATATATATATATATATATATATAATAAATATATATTGTTAATAATAATATTTATTGTTAATACATATATATATATATATATATAATTATATATATATATATATATATATATATATATATATATATATATATATATATATATATATATATATAATAAATATATATATATATATATAATAAATATATATATATATATATAATATAAACAATTTTAAAATGTATTCTACAAAATAGAGTGCTTAATGTTCTTAAAAGATTGGACATGTAATGAGGCAACATAGCTATGAAGAAAGACTAATCAAACTCAACCAAATTAGTCTAACTTTGCCTCAACAAAGGAGCGACCTCATTTAACAACTAAAAATATAAAAAAGAATTGAAATGGTGTGTACCAACAATCACAAGAGAGTCCATATTAGAATTAGTCCGTAACAGTGCACTGCGAAGCAATTTCTTCACTAACAGAATCGTCAACTGTTGGAACTTGCTATCCAGTAATACAGTGAACGCATAAACAGTCAATGCATTCAAGAATCAGCTAGAAAACCTTGTTTGGGTTGGACAGTGTCCAATCAAAATTTTAAAATATAATTTTTACGGTTTTAATGGAACGGAGTTTGGAATCCAAATCTTTGTCTTGTTATTCAGTTTATTTAACATTCATCTAGTGAAGTTGTAGTTATTCTTATTATTTAACATTCATCTAGTGAAGTTGTAGTTATTCTTATTATTTAACATTCATCTAGTGAAGTTGTAGTTATTCTTATTATTTAGAATAATTCATAAGAGATTTTTGTTTTAAAATATAATAGTTTCAATTCAATATTGTATATTTTTTTAGATAGACTTGAAATTTCACGCTGTACCTGACAATCCTTTTTTTTCTTTACAATTAGACAACAACTGTTTTGATGTTTTAACAATTTATAAGCAATTAAAAAAATCAATCTTTTTTAAAGTTTTTTTGTGAGGCTTTAAATAAAATCTAATTAAAATTAATTATAACGATCGTTTGAAAATAATTGCATTATGTGTAAATTAAATATTATATTTAATTATTTTTTTTATTAGGTATGTATTTTTATGATAAATTTAAACCTTTGAAACTGTTTTTCCACGTCATTCTAAAAACTTTTTATAATATTACTTAAGTTACTTTAAATTATGAATAAGTTAAACTAAATCTTCAACAATTTAAATGCTTTATTATTTTTTTTTTTTTTTGTTTCTATATTTACTAGAAGTTTTTTTTTTGAAACTTGACTTTCTAATTAAATCATGAAATGATTAAAAGTTATGATATTAAAAAGAAAACGTTATTTTTTTAAACAATTTTTTTTTTGCACTTTTTTAAAAAATGTTTATACAAAACCTTTTAAAAAATGTTTATACAAAACCTTTTAAAAAATGTTTATACAAAATATTTTATATAAATATTATATTTTTTTCTTTTCAATAATAAATAAATTTGTTAACAATCTTTTACAAATTTCTCATTATTGATTGTTTAATATATAATTTATTAAACAATCAAAAGAGAGTAATTTGTAAAAGCGTTTTGTATAACTTTTATTAAACGTTTTAAAAGATCAGTTAAAACAAGTTACTTTAAAATTTAAAGTAACTTTTTTTAATGCAGTTAAAACCGTAACAAAAAATAATATTTTCTTTGAGTTTTTTAGTTTTATTTCAAAGCTAATTCATTTTCTTTTTTGTAAGGTATTGTTTTGCTTATTCTTTAGTTTTTTCAAGTTTTTTCCTAGATTAAGTTTAGGTTCATGTTTCTTTGTTCAGCGCATTTCTGCTAAAATATAACATAAATAGAAAAAAAAATACTTTAGAATTTATCAATAATCATGCAGCCCCTGTCACAAACATGGTCCAAGCTGTTTTTTAATAACCAGGTCAACCTGGTTCAACCCTGGTCACTTACTACAAGAAGTAAATGAATACTTAAATATTTGAAAATTAATTCAAAAAAAGACTATAAAATGTTGAAAATAGAAAAGATACACAGGACAAACTTGCTTCGACACCAATTTTTCAATGGGGTGAAAAGCACCATACTTAAACTGGACTTTAGAGGTTGCAGTAGTACTTAGTTAAAAATGAATATATATATATATATATATATATATATATATATATATATATATATATATATATATATATATATATATATATATATATATATATATATATATATATATATATATATATATATATATATATATATATATATATATATATATATATATATGGGCGATTCTGCGAGAAAAAGGAAAAAAAAAGAAAAGCGAAAAAGTTATGAAAACACATACTAAACTCCAAAACTATTTATTTTAACTATTTTAAAATACTTTTAAGCAAAAAAGTTATTTAAAAAAATCATTTTATCATACCATAGCATGGTTTTAAAGTTGTAAGGGTCATATAAACGTGCTTTGTTGCTTATTTACAGTCCTGTTGTGTAGTGTTAAAAATCATACCTATATCCGTAATTGAAATCTTTGATAATGTTTTATTGCATTTTTTCAACGTACTATATATGGTTGTTAATAATTATTTAAACTTTTTTTCTTACATCATTGATTGTGTCGTTATATTTGATGTTTTTAAGCATTGGATTTTTTGTTACGACCGTCACAACAAAAAAAATACAAAAATGTTTGTAAAACTTCAAGTAAAAGCTATGAAACTCACCATAAAATAACATCAATATGTGCTAAATACACACACCAAAGGATTTTTTTTTTTGGTTATCAAAAGGATTTTTTTTTTTTAATATCATAACTTTTAATCATTTTTAAACCATGCTCTTCTCTGCATTAAGTCTGACAAAGTTGTTTTGTTCAGAAGTTGTAAAAAGTAAGCGTTACTTACGTCACGCTACTTAGAGTTATTTTTTGAAAAAAGTTGAAGACTTAAATGCTGCAACTTTTACATACAGTATTTCACATTTCTGGAAAGTTTCAAGTCATTTCCGTTTTTGGTTCATTTTTAATAACTTAAAGAGTGTCAAATGTTACGACCGCCACTCTCGCAGAATTGCCCATAAATAAATAAATATATATATATATATATATATATATATATATATATATATATATATATATATATATATATATATATATATATATATATATATATATATATATATATATATATATATATATATATATATATATATATATATATATATATAGATGATAATAGAAATGTTAAAAAAATCAATAATAACAATAAATAAAGTAAAATATAAATAAAAATACTAGATGTTTTAAAAATATAAATAAATATAGAAAAAAGTAGAAAATACCTCATAGATTTTGTAAGAGAATTGGAATTGATTTCAACAAAATGTTTTGGACAACTTTTTTCTGGTAATGCTCTGTTCAATAGAAATAAAACAGTAATTTGGCAAAAATATATGAAAATATTTAAATATACAAAAACAAAAATAATAAAAATAAAAATTTATTTAACAAAATATTCAAAATAATTATAAATCAAGCAAATACTGATATATGATATAAATAATGATATATAATAAAAATTAAAATAAAAAGATTGGTTTCAACAATTAAGGTATAATATTATAAAAAATTAAGTTAAGGAAACTAAATATGCAATAATGTGAAGAAATTAACGTGAAGAAATTAAATATGCAACTAATGTGAAATAACTAATGTGAAGAAATTAACAATGCAACTAATGTGAAGCAATTAATATCAAGAAATTAAATACACATTTAATATGAAGCAACTAACATGAAGTAATTAATTATATAACTAATGTGAAATAAATAATGTGAACCAATTGATTATGCAAATAATGTTAAGCGATTAATGCCATTTGATTTTCTAGTATTTGATTACTAGAAGTTATTAAAACTTCCTTCAAATTGATATCAACCTAAAAAAAAGTTTTGAGAACAATGGATTTTTTCTAACGCATAGGTTTATTTGAAACAATTTTTACATGCGATTTTTGGAAAGGATTTAACTTTTAAAACCCTCAGTCAATGTAGGCACCATAGCTCTCATCTATGTCTATAACGTTATGACATCATCAGTAATGTTTCGTGCACACCAAATTATGCAATAATAACTTTATTTGCATTAAAAAATTATTTAACTAAAATTGTCTTAAATTAAAAAAATAAAACAAAAAATTACAACTTAATAAAATAAAGGAATTTTTATTTACTTATAAGATCTTCCTTTATGGGATAACATAGGAGCAGATTGTGCTCTCTGCTGAAAAGGTATTTTAGTTGCTAGTTCCAAAATGGAAGATCGTTTGTTTGCTCGATAATTTACTTTGGGAGAAAGTAAGAAAGTGTTGTAACCAGTAGCAACACGATAATAATTCATCCATTCAGAAATAGTTGATCTAAAATGAATAATATTAGAATTAAAATTTTAAATTCATTTATATAATTTTTATTTGTATAATATTACAATTTTTATTTTAATATAGCAATAAAAAAAAGTTACGGTAACAGTTCAAAACGATGACTTGAAATAAACACAAACAAAAGTTCAACAGGTTTAATGTAAGTAATAAATTACTTGAACTTCTTTTTTAAAACTTTTAGATGTATAAAGAATTCTGCCTCATTCTTTAAAGTTTGATCATCCTCAAATGTTTCCTAAATCATACTGCATTTAAATACTGTATCACAGCTTATTAAAAATAGTTTAAAGGCATTTCTAAAAATGGCAAAAATAAAAAACAAAAAATTTTAAAAATTTACTTGTAGAGACCTTAAAACTTGTAGATCTTTTCTGGCATGGTATTGATTTTGAGAGCTAATAATAATAACAGTAATAATAACATGTATGTATGTATATATGTATGTGCATATATACATACATACATACATACATACATACATACATACATACATACATACATACATACATACATACATACATACATACATACATACATACATACATACATACATACATACATACATACATACTTTCTCAAAATAAATAGTCCGATGAATTAGGAATTCTGCTGGGTAAGGTTACAGAGCTAAACATAAACAAAAACTTTGAAAAAGTAGGTGAACCACTCATTATCATGGCATACTGCACTTTAAAAAACCATTTCTTTAATCATAGTTATAGTTACAAAGAGAACTGGAGTGTTTGGAACTAGAGTGTTTGGAATTGGAGTGTTTGGAACTGGAGTTTTCGGAACAGGAGTGTTTGGAACTGGAGTGTTTGGAACTGGAGTGTTTGGAACTGGAGTGTTTGGAACTGAAGTGTTTAGAACTGAAGTGTTAAGAACTGGAGTGTGACCTGAAAATGTAACAAACCATGAAATAGGTTCTCTTTCTCATTCCAGATAGCACACTACAGCTAAAAATTTCTGTTTATCGTAGATTTTTTTTCAAATTTTTACATTTGATTATCAAACTTATAAACAATGTATATAATTTCTGCTGGTTTAAAATAAAGTTAAAGCACTCCTGGTTGGATGGACCTCAGAATTTTAATTGAAATAAAAAATAAATAAAAAAAAGTTGTTGCAATAGTAATGAAAATTGCAAAGCAAAATGGTTTGCATTTCGTGAACGCTTTTTCTGATTCATTAATGTTCCACTAAAGAGTCAAATAGTTAGATTTATAATGAAAAAGTTGAAAATATTAAAGATGATAATAATTTAAATTAATTAAAAATATGTGCATGCATTAAATTAATTAAAAATACCTGATAATAATTTAAATTAATTAAAAATACGTTGGGATTTTTTAGAGAATGTGGTTTTTAATGCTATCTTAATTTAAAATTTTGAAAGACTGTAGTTTATGACACAGTTGTCTTGATATTTTTAATAAAATGTTTATGATGCAATTATTATAACATTTTTGGTATGCTTTGATTTGACATTGTAGTAATATGATAAATGCCATTAATTTTGTCAGCTATTTAGAATTTGAAAATTAATTAGTTAACTAAAGATCTATTAGCAGGAGTAAAAACTAGATCTTTCTACTAGTAGGAGAACGTATCAGGAGAAGGAGCAGCAGAACGTACTCCATCAATTTACTCATAGTGTTTACTATTGAATAAGAAATGCGAACAAAATGTCATTTAAATGGTAGTAATCTAGTGACAAATCTTTAGTGCAAGAGGTCTAAAGATAAAAACCCACCACTACACTGACCCACACTTAACCACACCATTAGTGCTACAGCGCTTAACTTAGTTTACAGTAAAACAGCTTTGCCATTTAATATTCAATGATAAAACAAAAAAGATGAGATAAAAGTTGAGAAATAAGTAAGACATAATTAAAAGAGAAGATAAAAGATAAAAAATATGTAAAGATCATAAAATTATGTCTAAAAATTTTAATTACCTGAACAGCAATTGATGAAAAGTGTTGTTTATTTGCAGTGGAATCCTAGAAACAATAAAAGATCATTGATAGACAGAAAGAAAAATAATATTGAAAAAAGTTTAAATAATTTATTAACCATTAGAGTCTCGCCATTATAGCCAACTCTCACTTTAGTATTCTGACCATGTGCAGTAAAGAAAACTACCATTGATTGCTTTTGGGAGCATCGAAAAACTAGATTTTTGTTTAGCTAAAAAATTGAGAAAAAAACATTATATCTTTAGTTTTATTTGAGACTATAAAATACAAAAACAAAATTTATAATTATTGCAGAAAAAGAAAAGAAAAAAAAAATGACATTACTTGTAAAGAAAGTGAGGGTTGAAGTCTTAAGCTCTTCCAATTCCACTTTCTAATAATATCACCAGTCTTAAAAAAAAGTATATATTATAAAAAAGATAATATATTTTTTAAATTTATCAAGATTAATCCTTCATTTTGATTGTCATAAGTTCGTAAACTATCATTTTGATTGTCATAAGTTCGTAAACTATCATTTTGATTGTCATAAGTTCGTAAACTATCATTTTGATTGTCATAAGTTTGTAAACTATCATTTTGATTGTCATAAGTTCGTAAACTTGTCATTTTGATTGTCATAAGTTCGTAAACTATCATTTTGATTGTCATAAGTTCGTAAACTATCATTTTGATTGTCATAAGTTCGTAAACTATCATTTTGATTGTCATAAGTTCGTAAACTTGTCATTTTGATTGTCATAAGTTCGTAAACTATCATTTTGATTGTCATAAGTTCGTAAACTATCATTTTGATTGTCATAAGTTCATAAACTATCATTGTCACTTAGGCTTTAAATCAACTTATGCAACAAAATGGATGATTAACAAAATGTTACTCTAACTCAAGAAAATATTGGTATAGTTTAATTACTTGGCTTGAGTACTCAAAAAAAATAAAATAAAATAAGGAGAGCTTATACAAATAATATAAAATTAATAATATGACAAACAATATTTATATGAGTTCCAACATCAAACAAAATGATTAAGAAAATTTATACAATTTTTAAAAATATTTTTATACAATTTATATATTTAAATAAATAAAAAATTATAAGTAAAAAAAAATATTAAAGAACTATAAAAGAACTATAAACTGTAACAAAAATCATTTCAAAACTGATGATCATAGAGTAAATATAACACTCTCAAAATGTCACAGATGATGTCATACAATAATGTCACAGATGATGTCATACTATAATGTCACAGATGATGCCATACTTAAATGTCACATATGATGTCATACTAAAATGTTGCAGATGATGTCATACTAAAATGTCACAGATGATATCATGATAAAATGTCACAGATGATGTCATACTAAAATGTCACAGATGATATCATACTAAAATAGGAATAGGCAGAAGCAGATGCATAAAATTTATAAGCAAAAAAACTAAAATTCAAAAAAAAACTAAAGATATTTTTACCAAGTAAAAGATTAGTAAACAAACTTTATTTAACAATAATTTTATTTAAAGTCAACACTAAGAGGTTTTTTATATTTAGAGATTCAACCAAGCTTGGATTAGGATTAGACAACTTAGATCCTACTAACTTTAAGTTTTTTATCAACCTTGGTTTCTATTATCCTTGGGATTCTTTCCATTTAGGAATCATTATTATTGATACTCAAAGCCTTTTTAAAATCATCTAATTAACTCAGTAATAGTCCTTATTATTTAAATAATTAATTTATGTAAAATCATTCTTGATGAAATTTCTATTCCTTTGTAAGAAAATCATTCTTCTTCATAAAATCTTCCTTCTTAAAAAAATTGTGATATGAGAAAACTTGTCTTTTTTTTGAAATTATTCAATCAGATGGCCTAGGTTACTTTATTATTATCATTACTATTATTATTTTTTTTGTAATATTTTTTAAACAAGTAGAAAATAATTTTTAAAATCATTGCTATTAGAATTTATATATAAACATCAACATTGTTATTAGTACCCAAACCTTAACCAACATAAAACTACTCAAATTTCAACCATATTATTAGTTCCATACCAATACATTAATACACAAGCCTCAACATTTAGTGCACAAATCTCTTTAAACCTCAACATTTAGTACATAAACATTTAAACTTATGTTTTGTGTTAATGAGTTTATAAAAGTTTATAAATGTTTTAATAACCTAATGTAAATTGTTAAAAAGAAAAAAAATTTAAAGAAAAAAAAAAAATTCACACTTTTTCCTAGCTGTATCTATAACTTTAAATAAAAAAAAAAAAAAAAAAAAAAAAGAAACAAAAAACAATAGTTTAAAAACAAAACAAAAAATAGCAAAAGGAAAATTACAAGTGAATAAAATACAAAAGATCTTTAAACAAAAGATTGAAAAAGAAAACAAAAAAGGAAATATTAAGCAAATGATAAACAGAAGTAGTAAGCAAATACAAAATTTATAGCAATATGAAACTATTTAAATAAAGAGCATGATTCTGTCCACCTGGAGATCACGCTTGAGTAATAGCAACATTTTCCCATGTTTAATAAATAAATACTTTCCTGAATAAATTAAAATGGAATCGGTAAAAAAAGTAACCTAAGATAAGAAATGTTTGGAAATAATTTTTTGAAATTGTGTTCTTTACATGGCTTTTTGATGATTAATGTGAGTTAGTTTAATTATATATATACTAGTTATAGTATATATATAATTGGTTTTAATAGTTGAGAGAAAATATATAAACATTGAAACTGTAAAAAATAATTAGGTTAAATGAATAGATTTGTATAAAAAATGTATGTACACTAAAACTATTTTAAAAAATAACTAATAGACAGATAGATAAGATAAATAGACAGATAGATAAGATAAATTGACAGATAGATTAGCAGTTGTCAAACTTTGTAAAAATTTGTAAAGACAATATATAAATCTGTATCAATTTTTTTTTTAATTTCAGATAATTTATATGGGATGCAGCAACAATGAAATTAATATAGGATACAGTGCAGAGGGTAAAAAAGTAAAATTTTAAATAATTAGTATCTTTTTTTTTTTTTTTTTTTTACCTATTTTTAGTTTAAAAATTCTTTTCTAAGACCAAAACTTCAAAACCAACAAGAGAATAATAGGAGGAATCAATGCAGAAAAAAATGAGTTTCCATGGCAAGCAATGTTAAAATGGAATGTTGGAAAAATGAAAGATGAACTTGTATGTGGTGGATCACTTATTGATAGTAGATTTGTATTAACTGCAGCCCATTGCTTTATTCATAGTATGAAAACTGAACACTATTATGTTATACTAGGTAGGATTTCAAACTATTATGTTATACTAGGTAGGATTTTAAACTATTATGTTATACTAGGTAGGATTTTAAACTATTATGTTATACTAGGTAGGATTTCAAACTATTAAGTAGGATTTCAAACTTATTAGTTTTAGTAATTGATAGTATTTAAACTTTTTTAAATTTTCAGTTTTTCTGACTACTAGTTCTTATAGTTCCTTTGTCTAAAAATACCACAAATGATGTCATACTGAGATGATGTCATACTACAAATGATGCCATACTGAGATCTATCTCATTTATTTTAGGTTAGGGTGAAGGCAGATTTATTACTTGTAAAAAAAAACTATTTTATACTATTCTTTTTGTTCTTAAAAAAAATTTTCTCTTTTATTCTAAAAATTGATGTCTTCCCTATAAAAATATTAATATTTTAGAAATAAATTAGAAACTTCAAAAATAAAGTTTAAACAAAAATTTAAATTTTTGAATTCTTTTTTTGTTTTTGCTTTGATAAGCTCATGAAACCTTTTTTTATTTATTTCTTTAAACCTTACAGAGGTAAATAAATAAAAAAAACTAAAGAAATAATTTTTGAATTACTTTTTTCTACTTTTTTTTTTTAATAAAACCTGAAAACCATGAGCTAGATCAGAGTAGTGTTTACAATTATTAAAAAAAAAAATATTAAAAAAAAAAAATATTAAAAAAAAAAATAGTAGATTCAAATGTTTTTAAAACAACAAAGATTTCAAAATATTATTTTATCAAAAGGAGATATAAAACATAAGATATAAGATTTATTTGAAAGAAATATATTATAAAAGAATTATTACTATTATTATTACAATAACTATTATATAATTTTTCTAACCATAACTATTATAAAAATGTGTAAAAACATACAAATAAAACAAAAATAGTAAAGAAATATAGTTTTTTGCTTAACAAAACTCCTTCATATCTACCTCCTCAAACCCAAACCCTATATATAAAATTTTAATGTATATCTTTTTTTTTTTTTTTTTAATTTTATAAAATGTTTTTTTATAGGAGAGCACCTTCAAAGTGAAAATGAAAATGAACAAAGAATTGATATAAAAACAATAATTATTCATCAAAATTTCAACGAAATTACATATAACAATGATATAGCATTAGTAGAACTTTTATCACCAGCTATAATTAATGACTCTGTCAATGTAATTAGTCTACCAGCATTCACTAATATTGAAAGACCAAATAAAATGTGCACTGTTACTGGATGGGGTCAAACAAAAAATCAAAATAAAGCTGAAATTCTACAAAAAGTTAATGTACCAATTGTTAATTTTGCAACATGCAATGGTCCTCTATCATATAAAAATAAGCTTACAAGTAATATGTTTTGTGCTGGTTATATAAATGGTAATTATGATGCATGTGAGGGGGATTCGGGGAGTCCACTTCAATGCAAGAATAATGATGGTGTATGGTTATTACATGGAATTACAAGTTGGGGGATTGGATGTGGAAAGCCTCATAAATATGGCGTATATGTGATTGTAAGACACTATTTAGCATGGCTCAAAAGTATTATTAAATATGAAACACTAAAATGAAATAAAAACTTTTTATTAAAACAAGATTAAAAAACATTTAAAGAAAATGTATACTTTTATTATTATTAAGTATACAGATCTATATACATTTTATATATAAAATGCAATGAAGGAAAGCTAATTTGTAACAACTTATTTTATATATAAATGTAGTAGCTATAAATAAAAAATAGAACATTTTCTCCTGTGTATTACTGCTTTGCATTGTGGGATTCTATTTCTCTAAAACTATTTTATATATTCAAAACCTTTGAGAGTTGTTTTTACTTGTGATAAAAATAATATCAGTGAATTAGATGTAAAAACAATTAATCTTTAAGCCATATAATGAGTATACTCTATTTACATGCTGTAAATCAGTACTGATCTACATAGCATATATGATAGACTGCTTTAATAGTACTGACCTACATAGCATATATAATAGACTGCTTTAATAGAGCAGCATTTAATTATTTTTTTCTGAATTCTGCTATTTTATGTTAAAAAAATAATTTGTTTAAAACTCCTGTTATATTAGAAGAATGTTAAAATATGCCACATTTTTTTTTAAATATTAGTATTAAGACAATCTTCCTTAAAGTGTTAATTGATACTTAAATAATTTTCAGCCTAATTTCCCAAATTTGTATAATGATATGTAAAATTAAAACCTAACGTAAAATTAGCTTAACATAATTAAATTAGGATTTATGTGAGTGTGTATATATATACACACACATAAATCTTATATATAGTATTTGTTATATATTTATATATATATATATATATATATATATATATATATATATATATATATATATATATATATATATATATATATATATATATATATATAAGGTGCCGGCCTTAACCGACATCAGGTCAGCGAAAAAATAAATTTTTTTGCTGACCTATAAACTATGACCTTTTTTTTTACAAAAAAAATGGTCATAGTTTATTTATTACATTTTAATTGGTTTTTTAGATTGCTTATAGAAAGAACGTTGATTAAAAATACAAATTTAGTTTATATGCTGTAGGCGAAGATTTTGTTTAAAATGGCGAATTGTTTAACAAAATTAGTAGACAGTTTGCATCCGGTTGTTTAACCTCTACGAGAAATAGGCATTTAATTCTCCAGTAGTAGGGGTGGTGTTTTTCAATATTTAATTGTAGTATAGTATGAACTATACAAAACTATACAAACGTTTCTGTTGCTAATCTAGCACAGCCTTTTATTTTATTATGACAATTTTTTAAAAGCTCTGAATACTCTCAGCAAGTTTTAAACCATATTAAAATTACTTCACCCGAATCATCAGTTTGAAATCCACAGGATTTAAACCCCCATTTTTCAATGATAGTTCTGTTAGGCATTATGACTTGATTTAAGTTTGCTTACTGTATGACTGTTGAGTCTGTTGCGATTTAATGGAAGCCTTAACTTCTATCAAATTAAAAAAAAGTTTTGTAACTAATGTTTCTTCTCCGCATGTGTTAAACATAACTATACCAATGCTAAACTTTCCTAATATACTTTCTGATCTTAAAAAATATATAAAAAAACCATAAACATGTATTTTATTAGTCAAGTGGTTTGAACTAATAAAATAAATTAAAATTAGATTTTATAACTTAATAAAATAATAATTGCGCTTAAAAAAGCGTGAGAACATCAGGCATTTAAAAAGTAACATTTTTTAACCTTGCTATGCTTGAATAAATTTGAAAAGATAAGAAAAAATGAATTGAAAAAAAATGAATGAATTATTGTTTTAATAAAACATGTTAAACTTGAAAAGCAAGGAATTACAATAAAAAATTTACAAAATAATATTTAACGAGTATTACATATTTTTTACATGTATTTCAATTTGTATGGCGACACTTTAGGATATTCAGGTTGGCAGTTGTATGCCATCCTGAAGCAAATATAGGTTGGCTTTTGCGTCTGCATTGCCAAATGCTGACCTGAATTTCGCTGACTGTGTATATATATATATATATATATATATATATATATATATATATATATATATATATATAATATATATATATATATATATATATATATATATATATATATATATATATATATATATATATATATATATATATATATATATATATATATATATATATATATATATATATATATATATATATATAACAAATGCTATATGCTAATGAGTTATTTTATTAAATCTAGTATATTAGTTGACAAAAGCAGAAAATTATAGTAAATTGACCAGTCAATAAATATTGGATTTTTATTATTAAAAGTTATTTTATCAATTAATATCCTTTAAACACTAAACCACTTTAAAAAATTTTTTTTTGAAATAGTCTAGCATAAAGAAAACTTTAATGAAAACTTTGTTTTAATACTTATTTTTAGTGAACAAAAAAGTAAAATGCTACATGAACTTATTTCATGATATTTAATAATATCATGATATTTTGTAAATTTCATATGCTCCATGAATTAATTAACACTTTTACTACATGTTAGAGATTTTTTAGAGATTTTCAAAAGGCACTTATAAAACTAATTATAAATTTTAACTTAAAATCCATTGGAAATAGAAACATCTTTTTAAATTAAAATAAACTTTTTAAATTTTAAAATTCTAAACTTATTCTGTTTTCAATTATTCTGACTTTTTCCAGTATTTTAACTCATTATAAATAAAAATTAATCACAATAAAAAACTTGACTTAAATTACATCAGAAATAAATTTAAAATAAAAGCTTTTTATTATAAAGGTAATAGATCTCTTATAAAATCTATAGCTTTAACTCTTGTAAATATAAAAAAAAGTTTGTAAATATAAAACAAAATTTACTGCACTTTATTAGCCCTTTTCCACATAGAATATAATATAAGATACAACTTAAATTTATGGATAGCATCATTACACACACTTTGATTTCAACTATATATTTTAAAAGGTTATATTGCTAAAAAGTATTTTTTTGAAGATTTCCCATAAAACATTCAAATTCTCTTGTTAAATAGACAATAGTTTTATTCTAAACCAACAAAATGGCAACTTTTTAATTAAATATTAAATACTGTTCTTATATTTTCTTTAGCTTTTAATTCATAGAATTCAAGTAGTCAAATGAACTAAAATTAAAAACTTAAAATAAGTTAATCTATTTCATTTTTAAATCAAGTTACTAAGTTAGAAGTTTTCTCAAGTTTGTAACAATATAAAAATATAAAAGATAACAATAAATTTATTATATGTATTCGTATCTGATATTATATGCATGCATTAATGGTTTATGCAAACATAATTTTATTAATTATTATGCACATTTTCAAAGTTAAGTTTTGATCCTTATGAAACTTATTGGTTAACATTGGCCCAGCAAAAAGATTGATAAATATTGTATTGGTCCAGCAAAAAGATGGATTTCACAAATACTAATCTTACACTATAGCAGAAGTAAGTTTAATCTGAAAAAAATGTCTCAGGATCATGTCATACTGTTTTGGATTCATACTGACCCCAATTTTCAGAAAACAACATTAGGGGAAAAAATTTTCAGGGTCCAAGAAAAAAAAAACATTTTTCTAAAAAAACTGAAAGTTCATAGACAAAGCCTAAAAATAGTGATGAGTATGAGTAATATGCATCCAATGAATCAAATATGTATAATCATTCCTCTTTTGTTGTTAGTAAAGTTTTTAATAAACAAAAAAAAAATATGTATAATCATTCCTCTTTTGTTGTTAGTAAAGTTTTTAATAAACAAGTTTCAAATACAAGCTTAGCAACTAACTCTCTAAAAAAATTTTAATACTCTCATTCTAGAGCTGACTTTTATACTCACTTTAATAACAGAAAGGTTCTGCAACACAATAAATAGAAACAGCAAAGCAAGAGCTGCTGCTGGCTTCTCTATAAGCTTTCTTCATATGGAAAATCTGGAAATACTTTTGAGATTAATAAATCAATCTTTTCTAATTGCATTATTTAAATTATATATAATTAAAGTATATTAAATTTTATTGTTTTTTTAAAAAACCGCAATAATAATGACTAGAAAGTTTTTTTTAATTAGTGGTGTTTTTGTTTTTGTTTTATTATAAAAAAAATTTTAAAACATGCATAAGTGGTGCTACATCGACTATCTTATAGCCTGCTGCTACAAGGGGGTGTTGCTACATCAACTATCTTATAGCCTGACTTGCAACGGAGTGCTGCTACATAGACTGACAAATAGCCTGACTCGAAAGGGAGTGCTGCTACATCAACTGAAAAATAGCCTGACTCGCAAGGGAGTACTGCTACATTGACTGAGGGTTTGGTTTGGGCAGGCAGTCTATCATTAAAAAAAAAAATTTTTTTTTTGAAGTTTTATAACATTTTCTGGTCAGTCTTATGACCTTTAACGCGCTTTAACGCGCTCTTTAAAACAACAGTTAATGGGAAAAACTTAGTGAATAACATGCAAGACTATATATATATATATATATATATATATATATATATATATATATATATATATATATATATATATATATATATATATATATATATATATATATATATATATATATATATATATATATATATATATATATATATATATATATATATGTATATATAATATATATATATATATATATATATATATATATATATATTATATATATATATATATATATATATATATATATATATATATATATATATATATATATATATATATATATTATATATATATACTTGTCAAGAAGAGAAAGTGAATCGTTAGAAGAACCAGCCCAAATATGACAACAGTATTCCATACAGGGACGAATAAGAGATTTGTAGAGAATGGAATCAGAAGTAAGGAAATGGCGAGCACGATAAAGAGAAGCAACCTTAGCAGAAGCTAATTTAGCAATCAATTGTATATATGGTTTCCATGAAAGGTCAGTAGTAAGCGATAATCCAAGAAGACGTAAAGAGGAGGACTCAGTAAGAGGATTGCCATTCATTAATATAGGAATGTTGACCATATTACGGTAGTTGTTTGCAGTAAGCAATTGGGTTTTTTTAGAGTTGAAATTCACAAGCCACTGTAAACCCCAATCTATTACTGAAGTGAGATCAGATTCAAGATCAGCTGCTTGTTCTAGGCAATGGAAAAGAGAAGACTTTTTGTCAAGACAGGAGTATAAAGTTGAGTCATCAGCAAAAAGAGCTACTTTAGATGAAAGGTTGTCAGGAAGATCGTTTATATAGATAAGAAACAAAACAGGGCCCAGGATGGAACCTTGGGGAACCCCAGATGTTACTGGAAATAAAGAAGAGTGTTGGCCTTCAAGGATGACTTTAATAAACCGGTTAGAAAGAAATGATTTGATAATCTCAAAAACTTTCCCAGAAACACCATATGAAGCAAGCTTATGGAGAAGACCAGCATGCCAAACTTTGTCGAAAGTTTTAGATATGTCGAGAGCAATAGCCCTAGCCTCACCGCCTCCATCTAATGCACAATAATATCTTTCAGTTACAGCAGTCAGCAAGTCCGCCGTAGAGCGAGAGGATCGAAAACCGTATTGATTGTCTGACAGCAGTTTATTTGACTCAAGATGAGATGTGAGGAATTTGTTGATCAAAGACTCAAAGACCTTGCTAATAACAGATTTATTGACGAACGTCTAATTTAAGAGGTATATGTCAAATAAGGGAGTTTTATTTTAAAATAATTTTTTCATTCAAATAACCTTTTATTAAATTATAAAAGAGATTTATTTCCAAATAACTTTTATTCTAGTTAATGAATTATTAGATACACCTTAAAATGTTTAAGGTCAGCAAAAAATTGCTGACCTCGCTTCTATGTCTTATGGTAACTCCTTTGTATCAAATTTTTTTTTTCGCCTTATGCCGACCTCTAACAGTTGGAGGTCAGAAATTTATTGCCGACCTCATTTTTCTTAATTTCAAGGGTTGTAGATATGTTAAACATGCTTATTGTTATCATATTAAACTTTTTATTATTTCAATACACTATTTTATGCATTTGCAAAGTGCGTACAAATTAATGATAATTAAAGGCCGTTTTCCACAAGATGAAAAAAATGGCATGAAACAAATTTTTTCATCATGACAAAACGCTGTTTTGATTTCTGCATTATATTTAGTGCTACTAAATTTTTTATCAATAAAAAATGACGGCGATAGCTGCATGCTTTTGAAAAAAATATATAATTATAAAATAGTTTTTGATGTATAACTGTATTGTATTTTTTTAGAATGTTTAATAAAATAAATGCTAACTTCTCATAGGAACACTTCTATTGAAAAACTGTTACTGCAAGAAGTAATAAATTGTTCAACTCTGAAAGAAGATAAACCTTCTTGTGAAGTGGAACCTTTGGAACTCACAGCATTAGTAAATTCATATTTATTTAATGAATTTACTAATTCTTGCCAATTTTCAGGGTAAGTTTTAAGTAAATCAGAACATCAAGTTCACCATTTTGTTTATTGTTGTTGTTACCATTTAAAAGAAACAACATGTTTTCGCTTTTTTATACTATTAACTTTACGTGATAACCAATCTAAAATCAATATTTTTATAATACAAGATATAAAAATGCTATAAACATACCTCTTCTTGACATAATCCATATTCTTGAGTAGAAAGAAACCTATAAATTAAAAAATGATTAAATTTAACAAGACATGAATTAAAGTAAAGAAAAAATTAACCAAAGAAAATAAACAATGAAATAATAACAAATATAAACAAATAAAAAATAACAATAAAAACAAAAGTAACAATATTTTCTATATAAATATGTGCTATAAATATAAAGAAATAAATACTTACTAATTTATAAAAAATATAAAGAAATAAATAATTTATAAAAAAAAAAAAAATATATATATATATATATATATATATATATATATATATATATATATATATATATATATATATATATATATATATATATATATATATATATATATATATATATAAAGAAATAAATATATAATATGAACAAAGGTTTTAAAAGATTCTTTTTATTAACAATGTTTTTTGCAAAAATCAGCAAAAATATTTATCAACTTTTATTTTAAAGATTTTTTTTTCCTTTATGCTTAGTAGCAAAATTTATTTACTTGAAATACCAATTTACTTGTATTTTAATTGGTCTTAAAAATCAAAAAGTAAAATTTATAATAATTTTAAATTTTACTTTTTGATTTTTAAGACCAATTAAAATACATGTGCTTAAAGGTTTTTTTACAGCTGTACAATCAACCTGAGTAGTTTTTTTATCAATGTTAATTATTAATAAAAAAAATAAAGAAGAAAAGAGATTCCTAAAACGATTGCACTTTGAAAAACATAAACAGCTTACTTATTCTAAAAATAAGAATGGATTGTTTTTTAAGTACTGCGTGTTATTTTCTGATAAAGATGGGCAACGTCATTTAAAAAAATTTGTCAGTGAACCTTTAAAAAAGTATGTAAAGTTGTGGGGGAAAGATGGTGATTTGGAAGCACATAGCAAATTGCAATATCATATTGAATGTCTATTAATTGTAAAAGACTTTAAAAATAGATATCAAAATCCAGATAAAGATATAATACAAAATAATACAAAATGATAGTATCGAATGCTGTAAAGTTTATATAAATGAACAAATTCTCAAAGAAGTTCAAGAGAGTAAATATTATAATTTTTGAAGAAACAACTGATATAGCTCAAAAGAGTTTAGTGTTAAGCTTAAAACATTATAATAAATGAATTTTTTTTTTTTTTTTTTGTAATTCATAATACTTATAATGAAACAGAAACTGAAGACGAGGAATTAATGGAAAAAGACCCTATTACATTTGAACCAAAACTAACTGGTGATATATTAGGTAAATTGTACTTAATAGGTTAAAAGGTTTTTCACATGATCTTACTATCTGTGTTGGCATTGGCACTGACGGATGTAGTGTCATGGTTTCTACAGTACAAGGAGCTATCACAAAAATACAATCACATGCTCCAAATGGCATTTATATTCCGTGTTCTAACCACGCATTGAATCTTGCAATATCAAAGTCATCATCTATACAAACAATAAGAAACTGTGTTGGACTAATGATGGAAATTATATCATTTTTTAATATGTCATCTAAACAGAGTTTTTTTTTGAAGAATATTCTAAATGGAAATCCACATTTTATAAGCTTATGTGAAACAAGATGCGTTGAACGTTACGATAGTGTTATGCTCTTTAAGTCATCTTTACATTATAAAAGCTCATTAACATTAATTTTCTATTGGCAAGAACATAACTCATCCTCAAAAGCAAAAATGTTATTGGCAAAAAGGTAAAAGGTAAAAATCTTTTTTTTTAATCAATGTAAATGTGAATTTGTTGTTGGAATATTTTTTTTATCAAGTTTTATATGTGTGACAACAATGGTGAGTAAGCTACTTCAAAGTAAATGGCAAGATATTTGTAAAACAAATGAAATTATCTCAGATGTAACTATAAGTCTAGAAAAGAAGAGAAAAAATCAATTAATGGCTTTGGCTTTACTGAATGCTCATATTATTATATCCATTGATGATGTAATCAACAAATTTTCTTCAATGAAAAAAAGAAATATAGATTTTGTCATTTAAGTATTTGACTATCAACCTTATGTTGGTATATATTTTGTGTATATATATATATATATATATATATATATATATATATATATATATATATATATATATATATATATATATATATATATATATATATATATATATATATATATATATATATATATACATATACATATACAAACCCCGGAGAATTTTTCTCTGATAGTAAAGTTTGTATTTGTAAATTAATTAAAACACATGTATTTCACTCAAAATATGGAACAATAACAAACTTTTTAATGTCAAACTTAAAAAGTTTGTTATTGTTATCATAAACAACTCCTAATATCTACAGCCAATGTTCGCCAGGCAATAGATTCATACAAATTAGTTAGCAAGTTAAAAATTAGAAAATTCTGGGGTATGTTGTGCCATTCTCTTTAAAGTACTTCAGTCTTCTCTTTAAAGTACTTCAATACGCTTGATTATATTCAAATTAAGACTCTGGGGTTGCCAGGTCATCAATTCCAGTACTCCTTCCTCTGCCATTTCATTTAAATAATTTTTGGCCACTCAGGAACAATGTTTTGGGTCAATATCCTGCTGCAGAATAAAATTATGACCTGTTAGTCTCATTCTGGATGGTACAGCATGGTGCCTTAAGATATCCACATATTCCTGGTTAGTCGTCCCTCTACTTTGATCAAATCACCTATACTAGATGAAGATAAACTGCCCTAAACTTGTAAAAAAACCTCCTCCATGTTTAATAGTAGGGTCTAAACACTTAGGCTGATAGGCTTCTCTAATTCTTCTTAGAACATATTGGCATCTTTTTGTTCAAAAAATTTCAAATTGCAACACACCCTCTTAATCCTAATTTTAGTAGGTGGCATCAAATACAAGAAGAGCTAACATTTTCCCCAGTTACTATGTTCATGTCCTTTGCTAACTCGATGATGTTTTTTTGCCAACTCGTTGATGTTGTTTTCCTATATCTTAAAGAAAGGGTTTTTAAATATTTATTGTCATCTTTTGTTAGCTTAAGAGGTCTATCACTTCTTTATACTGTCAAAAACTTTAATGAAGGAGTATAAACCCAAATCAGTTTAAACCAGTTTATTTTTTAGTTAGATGAACACTTAGTCTGTAATCATTATGACACTTATTATTTTAATAAACAAACAAACAAATTCCTTATGTTCCATCATCAATTTTTGTTTATTTATTCAAAATAATATATTCTTTCAACCTTTCTTATATATTTTTTTTTTTACTTTTTTATTTTAATTCACCTCCTCAAGGCCGAGAAGGCCACTACAGACGAGGAGGCTACTTAATTATGGTTATAACCCTCTCTCAACTCTATAACTCCGAAACACGAACCTTGACGAGCAAGGCCGCTGCGCGGAGAAACGAGTTGAGCGCGGTACTACCAGGGACGTGGTGGGGATCGAACTCGGAACCACTCGTTTATGAAGCGAGCGCTCTACCACTACACCACTACCGCATATATTTAATCATTAAACTTTTTCTACTAACTATTGACATTCACAATTCTTATATATTATTCAACTTAAGTAAACTATAAAAAAACATGAAAAAAATTGTGGTCTAAAACATATTCACAGTACTGTATATATATATAATATATATATATATATATATATATATATATATATATATATATATATATATATATATATATATATATATATATATATATATATATATATATATATATATATATACATACATATATATATATATATATATATAATATATATATATATATATATATATATATATATATATAATATATATATATATAATGCTAAAAAAAAGTCAGTTTTAGAAATAATTAACTAAAAAATATACAAATCAACTAAATAGTATAAGAATCCTACCTACAAATCAATAGATTTGTCAACATAATAAATATTAAAAAGATAATAACTCACTGAACCATTCCACTTTTATAATAACAAGCCCCATCACTTTCAGGCGTAAAAATAGCCAACAATCTTCCATAAAAATCAGAATACACTAATGCATAACATCCCTCTACGCTTAAACTTGGTATTGTAATAATTGCAGGTTGACCAGATGGATAGCTAAAAAAAGTTAAGGTCTTTGTACCTATTTTAGTGGTGCTATCTTTATTAATCCAAAATTGCTTAAAACACATATAAGGACAATACTTTCAATACATAGTGTATTGAAGAACAAATTCATTATCTTATCAATCAAGACAAAATATTTGTAAAAAAAATATATATATATTAGGGTTGTTCGCCGAAAAACAAAACTTGCGAAAATTTCGCATCTTTATTTACCGTAATAGAATTGTTATTACGGAAGTTGCACATGCGAAAATGCACATTCCGTAACGCGCTATACGAAAATATAAATAAATAAAATTCCGTAATAAAGCATTGCGAAAGAAAACTTGCGAAACAAATCAATTCGTAAGAATACTTACGAAATAGTTCCTTACGGAAAAAGCATTCCGGAATGTGTAGTTACGAAAAAGACGCAAAAGATTTTATGTTACGATATATTTAAGATATTAACTGTTAACAGTTTAAATAATAAAATTATAAAAAAATGTTGTCAAATGATTCTTCAAATGTTTATACAAATATACCTAATATATATATATATATATATATAAATATATATACATTAACGGGATTTTACTGTATATATATGTATATATATATATATATATATATATATATATATATATATATATATATATATATATATATATATTTATATATATATATTCATATATATATATATATATATATATATATATATATATATATATATATATATATATATATATATATATATATATATATATATACATTAACGGGATTTTACTGTATATATATGTATATATATATATATATATATATATATATATATATATATATATATATATATATATATATATATATATATATATATATACTTATATATACAGTAAAATCCCGTTAAGTTGGACTCTCAATGAATAGATAAACAGTATGCCTTTCTTTTTAAAAAGTATAAAGAGGATGTGTGATAAACAATTAAATACTTTATTATAAAGAACGAGAGATCTCTCTAAAGGTAAATGATATCAGAAAGAGTAAAAAGAGAAGAAATATATGTGAAACAGCGGGATGTGAACCTGGGTCTACGCGGCCAAATGTCTTAACTGAATGAGCTATACGTTCATTCAACTAAGAGAATAGTAATATTTATTTAATATATAATTTGAAACTATATAAAACAGAATTTACAGAAAGAGATACGTATGCAAATAGGATTCTATATATCCGGAAAATGAATAGTAATGTGAACCTTTAGATGCTTATAATTAATATCTGGACTCAAAAACTAGTTACTTTTAATGGAACACAATAGGCTGTAGGAGCCTCAGGGAAATTATATTCAGAAATGGTTATATTAGACTCAGAGTTAGCTAGAAATTATTACAAAGTATTTAGGACAGATGTCTAGTACAAAAAGCAAAAGATTTAAAGCAAAATGAACTATATTATTTGAAAAAATTGTTTTACATACATTTCATCATAATTTAAGTAGAACTTAGTAAAGCAAGGGAAACCTGTTGAATTAAGCACAATGAACTCAATCTTAAAAGAATAACTAACAGAAGAGAGGTTGTCACTATTGTGAAGGCGACGAAAGATCTGTAATATAGAACATGGAGGTCAAAAAATGCTATCTTAAGTAAAAAGAGTTTGATGAACAAAAGTTACAATGGCTGCGAGATGCGAACCCGGATCTCTGCGGCGAATTATCACGTATCTAACTGATTGAACTATACAATCTTATACTCAAATTTATATCTTATTAAAATTAAAAAACAAAATTTTCTATGATCTATACTTTGAAAAGCGTATTCAAACAGGACTCTACATACCTTGAAAATCTGCTAGAATTTTAGTAACGTGCACAATTTTAGAAATTATTGAAATAGGTATATTTTATCAGAAATATGCTTAAGCTAAAGCATATTTTTGAGCCTCTTTTTACTATTTGCTTAAGCATATTCGAACCTGTTTCAAAAATTTCATATGCTTTAAAAAAAAAAACATGTATATTCCTACCCATCATTCTTATTTTTAATATACGTAATGAGTTCAAAAAACATCGTTGTATATATTTATGTACATCGTTAAACATCGTTGTATATATTATGTACATAAACATCGTTGTATATATTATGGCACATTTCGTAAGTTTATTTCCGTTAAGAATTCTTTTGTATGTTGTGATCCGAAATACTTTCGTTTCGAAAGAAATTTTATTTTTTATCAATATTTCTAAAAATAAAACCGTAAAAATTTAATAAGTTATTTTACTAAAAATAAAAATTCATTATAAACATTTTGGGATTTAAAGATGTTAATTTTTACAATTAAAATCAGTCTGGCAAACAAATTTTCTTTATAGACTTCAAAACGTCGTTTGGCAAAAATGTTTGTTTCGCAAGTGCGACTTCCGAAACCGCTACTTTCGTATGTTGCAAAATAGTTTTGTTTCGTATGTCAACTTGCGAAATGCTAAATTTCGGAAGTGGCTTTTGCGAAATGAACATCGGCGATTTTAAATGTTTTGTAACATTCGGTACGAAAAAATGTAATTCCGTGTTCTCAATCTCCTTACGAAAGAATGTTGTTTTTCCGGAATTGCACGAAATCCTCCGGTTAACAACCCTAATATATATATTTTTAAAGTAAATAAAACAGATAAATTTAATACTGTATTTGCCAAAATGGATTATTTCTCTCCTTAAAGCTTTAAACGGACATTTTATAATTTTTCACTTATTTCTTCATTAATTTAATGTTTAAATAACAAAGTAACTTGAACATAATAACCGTTTATCTAAGAGTTTAGTGTTTCAAATGTTTATAATACAAGCAAATGAACTATGAAGTGGATAGTGGTTACTGTCTTACAATTAAAAACCCACAAATTCTCACATAAAATATCTTTTTGCTAACAAGCTACTCCAAAAAAGTAATTAGTTAAAATTAGCATTAAATTTTTCTATTTTTTTTCCTTCAAAAACATGTAAATTTTTTTTGGTAAAATATTTACATGTTTTTGAAGAGATTTTAGAAACAAAGCATAATTGAAAAAAATATTTAAAATAACTTTAACTAAATCAAGCATACTTAGAAAACTAACAGATCAAGCATACTTAGATAACTAATCCATCCACTATTTGTTTATCCACTGCCATTTTTCATTTTATAAGTGAAAAAAAAGATATATTTTGAAGATGTCTATAATTTTAGAAGATATTTCTACTTATGTTAATAGTTTTAATTAGAATTAGATTTTCTACAATACCAGAAGCTATTCTAGATCCTTTTTGACAGCATTGAACATATTTGTGCGACATTTGTGGGCCGCCCAAATTTATACATCAAAGACATTTTTTTTTTCTTAATAATGGCAATGTTTACGCAAAACTTGTTTACTGCAGGCGCTGGAGCAGTGAGAAAAAAATATTTGAGTAAAACTCAAATATTTTTTTAGAGAGCATGATTATGCGCGCTCGTCAATAAGTTATTGAGAGTGATCTTTTTTTTTTTGTGTATGTGTGTTCCACACAATTTTATTAAATTTTAATTTGTTATACAGCGTTCTTTAGACAATAAGCGCACTGCCTGACAAAACGTTTAAAATTCTTTCGACTTTCTAAATACTTATTTATTATTTGATCACATCTGATTGTGTTTTTTATTCTACCTAGTTCTTAATGATCTTGTTTTAAAGACTTTTTCTTTTATGTATTTTCGTTGTCTTCATCTTTAACTTAATACGACAGTCAATTATTTTTTATTATTACATCGAATTTATTTGAAAGAAATTCATAAGCTTTCATTTTTTTCATTGTTTCATTCGTTTAATTAAAATATAAATTCGTAATGTTTTCGCATCATTAATACATTAAAACAATAAAATAACGATTTCTATTCGTTAAAACATATTTAATGTTTTTTCTATGCTTATGCTGGTAGAACTTTTATCACTTTTTTAGCAAACGTTTTCACAAACTTAAACTTTTCTTTTTCTCAAATAAACTTATAATTTTAATTAAGTTATAAACAATATAAGTTATAACTTTAATAATAAAAATTTTTTAAATTTTGTTAAATTTTGGTCGAAAACATTTCTAATGCTCTAATTTACCGAATGACGTAGGTTATTATTTAGAAAACTAGTTTTTTTAAATGTTTTACTTTAACTGCCAAAATGCAATTAAAAATATGTGAATAGTGATTATTTTGTTTTTAAACATAAGCAAACTATTCCGTTCAAAACACAACGTTCTTAAAAATATTTTTTTTGAAATTAAATAAAAAAATCTTATTATTATTGTACATATGGTTTTTAGCAAATGCTTTTACAAAATTAAATTAACAAAGTTTCTCATAATTATTTTGTATTTATTACACAATTTAATATTATTAATGAACTTATATAAATAATAAAAATTTATTTAATTTCTTTAAGAAGTCTCATTCACAAACCACCATTCATTGTTCGTAGAAATTTGTGCTCTAATTTCAACAGATTGACGTAAGTTAACGTGAAAAAATGAGTTTTTTAATTTTAACTTAAACATTTTACCTCAGAAAAAGCGTAATTAAAGATGAATAGAGATTTTTTTGTTTTTAACAATAAGCTAACTTTTTTGTTTAATTAAACAAGAACATTTAATATAAAATCAAGTAAACCATTATTAGTTTTCTACCTCCCAAACTTTAAGGATGAGTGCGATTTTTTACTTTTGTAATAAATTAGCAAGCATTTTTTATCGCACCCACAATTTATAAATATTCCATTAACAAGTGTGTTTCACGTGACAGGAGCGATCGCTCCTGCTTCATACCAAGGCCTGATGATTGTATTCTATTAGCAAGATTATTAAGGATGTTGATTGTATTCTATTAGCAAAATAATAAAGGATGTTGATTGTATTCTATTAACAAGATTGTTCTTTTTAATGTAAAACAGATGACTATTGTAGTTTTAAAAAGTTGAGCATTTGTTTTTTGTTAAAAAATTATTTTACAACTATTTTGAACTATTTTCAATTTTTTTAAATTTAGTTTATTTTCGATTTAGTTTATTTTAGTTAGAAACTTGTAAAGGATGACTAAAATAATACTCTTATTCAAAACAAAACTTTTATTTTTTATTATTACTTTTAGTTTTTAAACTCTAAAAACTAAAAATAGAAGATTTAGTATCAAAAATCACTCATTTTTTAATAGATATAAGAAATGAACAAAAGAACCGCAAATCTCAGACAAGGGTGTGCTACTGTCTACAGCCTTTGATACTTTGGTTAAATGGAAATTTGATTTTTATTAAATTAATAAAATGAAATGTTTAAAAATATTGAGTATTATTAATATTATGTATCATAGAAAAAAGTTTTAAAAAAAAATTGTGTGAAAAAAATATATAAATATTTATGTGAAAAAAGTATATAAAAATATAAGAAATAACAAAACTACTAATAAAAAAGATACAAAAGCATGAGAGAACCATTGCAACCTGCATAAGAAAATGTTTTAGGATTTGATAATTTTGCTTGATTTGATTTTTTGTTAGATTTGTCACTGTAATAACATTTAGACATGGATTTTTTTTTTCCTAATTTTATCGCTGCTTCATCTTGAATCTCTCTAAAAATTAAAAAAAAAAACTAATATTTAAAAAACTAGGAGAACACTAGAAACCACAATATCTATTGATAAAAAAATAAAACTTTTTATTTTATAAAAAAAATATCAGGAGGTAGTAATCAGGGGGTAGTAATTTCAAATCAAAAAATATCAAGAAAGTTAATGCTTATGTAAAACTTAATATACCGGAGCTTTATTGCTTTGGTCAATCTTGCATGAGCCCAAGCAATTAAAGTTTGTTGTTCAAGATTAAAAACATCTGATTCTTGCATTATCCATCCTGTTTAAAATGAAATAATGGAACATGTCATTAGTTAAATATATATGCTTACTTATATATATAGATATGTATATAGATATGAATAAATTTATAATTGAAAAAACTTAATTAAAACTTATGAAAATATATTACTTTATTTTAAATTTTTTTTTGCTTTTTATTTCATTAATTTTAATTGTGTTAATAAAATCTTAGCTAATATTGTCAACATGAAATAAAATATGTTAATACTGTCAACATGAAAATGTTTTGACATTTAACTATTTCTCTACTTTAATGCAGTAAAAATATTATTATTTAGTATATAAATTATATCTCTAAATATTAATACTGTAAAAATTCAATGTTCAATGTTCAATGTCGTTTCGCTTTCGTTTTTAAAGCAGTTTTAATAAGTTACTAGGCTTTTCTGAACTTGAAACAGCGCGTTCTCAAAATGCACGCGGTTATTAGAGAAAGATCTTTCAACCGAGTTAAATCTTTTTACCTTTAGAATTGAATTAATATTAAGATTAGTTTAGAAATATTACATAAAGAATCATATTAAGATAAATAATCATCATTAAGATCATATTATAATAATCATCGTTAAGATCATATAAGCATTGAAAATAGTTTCGCAATTTATATATAATATTTTTTATTAAAAATAAAGTAAAAAGGATCACTCCTTTTAATTTTTTAAATCGTTTACATTTTGTTTGTTTTAGTTTTTCTTTTGGCTTTATTTTTTCTAGCAGTTTTTATTGAGCATATCTTCTATTTTTTAGAAGGAAGATAGAGGTAAGGATGAGGTCTAATTATTTTTTATGCAACAAAAAAGTTATACTAATGCTATTTCAATAAAATTGGTTATTACTACCATGAAATTTCTGTGATGCTATTAACTGTTTTTGCTCTTTTTTAGAAAATTTAGAAAAATAAATTAAAATTTCGTGCCACTACTGACATGTCACATGTTATTGTATGTAAAGATTAAATTTTTGTTATGAGAATTACAGTTCTTATGAAAAAAAAAGGTAAAGAGTATTGTTCGTATATAAATATTTATATTTTGTTTACTTTGAATCTTTTAAAATTTTTTCATGCCATTTTTAAAATTTTTGTTTGCACAATTCAAGTTATATGTTTATTGTTTGCATTGCTTTTTTGATAATTATGTGTATATTGTAAAATGTGCTTTATAGCATTTTTATCAATGTGTTTTTATAATAATGTAACATGTTTTTTTATTGTTTGTTTATGTGTTAATATAAGTTATATAATTGTTTTATAAATGGGTTTAAATATGTTTAAATATGTTTATATATGTTTTCAAAGTGCTGTGAATTGGTAAACGTGTAAAGCAAGATTTGTCAACCTTGCCAGCCAAGTCACTTACTGCAAAGGGTTACGAAGCAGTGTTTCGTGTCAAACTGTTACTGCTTTAGGTCTAGGTGTTTTCAAGCCTTTATTAATAATTACTCTGAAAATACATAATGTATTTTAATAACATTTTGCGTAATGTTGTTACTGATGTTCTGTTATATATGAATGTTATGTTTCTTAAGTTATGTTATATGCATATTATATGAACTTATGGTGAATGCTATTGTTGCTGTGATGTTGTTTTTTTGTAATCTTTTGAGTTGATATACATTTGGTTTACCTTCAAGTTGTTGTCTACTGTTAAAAATGATACATAGTTAATTTCATTATTAGACCTCACTGCATTTAATCATTCACTAAAATTAATATTTAGATTCACTAAAAGCCAACTACTACTACTACTACTCTGGTAAATCACATCAGCTTTATCAGGTACAATGATTTCTTTTTTTTGTATGTAATTTTTTTCTTATTTACTTATTTGTTACATTTTTTATTTATCAAATTATGTATTTATGTGGTATAGAAGAACAAAATATTGTTAAGTTTTGTGAATTTTATAAAACTTTTTACTAATATTTTTTTCAAATAAATAATATTGAAGTTTGCTTAAAAGGGTTTTACTACGTTTTTTTTTTAATTTTTCTATATTAGGAGTTTTTATATTATTATTTTTAATGCAAATATCTATTTTTTATTATATTAATATTTTATCTTTAGATCTAAATTGGAGCAGCTACAGATCTATATTGCTCCCAGCACCCAGGACCACTCTCTGAGAGGTCCTTTAACAAATGTTGCAGTAATAATGGTATGGATAAGCCCTCTTTCAAATGGAGAGCTCATCCATACAGGGGTGCTGGGAGGCACCAAGTAAAAAATAGCAACAAAAAATTTTTTAATATATTCAATCAGTGAAGATATTAACAATTTTTTTGTTGCTGTTTTTTCCTTGGTTTTTATTTTCATTAAAAAAATATATATATTCTAAATTATGTTTGTTTTTATTTTTTTAGTATTTGTTTAGATTATTATTTATAGTTTTTATTACTTTAATTTTTGATTCACAATATAACGTGGCTATTATATTGCTTCGAATATATACCATATCAGTTAATCAGTTTTGAAAAAATGTACTGCAGCAATTTATTAACTATAACAAAAATCACATTTAAATTTGTAATATTTTAAAGTTATAATTTTAAACTAATTTGTTGATTTCCAGCAGATTTTATTTCTTTTGATTGTTTTGAATTTAATAATTTAGTGTTTATAGCTGCCTTTAACTTATGTAAACCTTTAATAAATTTAATCTTCTGATTTTAATGAGTAATAAATAATATAAAATATTGGAAAAAAGATTAAGTAATAAAAAAAACAGATAATTAATCTTTGATAAACTTTGTCATGTTGCTTATTATATTATTGGCATTTCAGTGATGCTGTTAAATTTTTTTCTTTTCTTTAGAATTTAGAAAAATGAATTAAGCTACAACTTTTGAACAGTCGTTGTTTGTGAAGGTTAAATTATTTGCATGTTTTTTATAGAAATAGTATTAAAGTTTACTAAAAGGGGTTTACAAATACTTTACTTTTTATTTTTTGTCTTCTTTTTTTTTGTATTAACAGTACCCTTTATTATTAAAATTTTTATTATTATTATTATTTTTTTGTTTACTATTGGTTAATTTTTTTATTTACATTATATTTATAAGTTTATTTTTTGTTTAAACATCTTTTAATGGATATATTTATAAAAATGTTTTTATAAAAAACTCACAATATTGTTGTATAATTTGGTTTATTTTAAATGAAAATTTCCTATGTAATGTTTTAAAAATTATTCTTTGTGTGTGTGCAATTTAGAGAAGTAAAAAAAAAAAAATCACAATCTTCAAGATTCTTTCAAGATTTTTTGTTACTACTATCAATTAAAAGTGAAGTTTAAATGGATGATATAAGGCTAGAAGTGGCTATTAGTTTAGAAAATGATGGAAATGTTAATAAGCAAGTTGAAAATAATCGTTGCAGAAATGCAAGAAATAGGCTGAGGTGGGATGAAATTAATAATCAACAAAATGCTAGATATGCTGCATGGCAAGCCGCGAATAATTTAAATCAAAATGAGGACAGTGTGATTAGGCAAGTTGAAAATAGTCGTCACAGAAATGCAAGAAATAGGCTGAGGCGGGATGAAATTAATAATCAACCAAATGCTAGATATTCTGCTCGGCAAGCAGCAAATAGTTTAAACTGAAATAATGAGAAAAAAGGGCAAGATAGATGTCACTATAATCTCCCTTCACATAATGAAGTTGCATTTGTATTTTTTGGTGAAGATGGTGCTCCACCTACTTCCAGTGACGTTGTTATTTTCCCAAAAGGTCATCCTCTTAAAATATATCAAGTATGTCTGCCAAATTAGAGCCTATGGTTTGTTCTTTATTTTTTCTAAGGGGTGATGCTGGTTGGCATAATCAATTGGTTTACAACCCTGAACGTGCTTCATTGATTAGAAATCATGTTACATTATCTCAGTATTATAGTTATAGACTTTTAGTTGGACAATTAACCTAAACAAAAAAAATAGGTGAAGTGATTTTTAGTAACTTCAGATCACTTTGTTGTTATTTTTTTATTACAATTAGAAGAATTAATAATAAAAGTTTTTAGGCAGTAGAACTGGTACTGATTTTAGTAAGTTTGTTACATTTTTTTATTTAATATTTTCATTAGATTTAATAGGTTTCATAGGTTTTTTTTAATTACTTTGGAGTAAAATATATTGAGTGATAATGCTTCATTTTTTACACTTTTAGATTATGTATTGTTGTCTAGATTCTTTGTTAAATTACAATTTATTGATGTAAATAAATTTTTATTTTTATTTTTGATAGACAACTTTTATCGAAAAATAGAAATAAAAATTTATTTACATCAATAAGGAGGCGTGAACTTCCTATTAAATGCTTATCCACGGTGCTCTGTGATAAGACCTTGAGGACTTCTTGGAGCACCTAAAATAAAATTAAAAAAAAAGTTGTTGAAATATAAGAAATGCTGCTCGGCGAGTAGAAAACTTACTTGCCAGAATTCAGTGTCAAGCTGTGTTAATGTGTGTTTATTTGATTTTGTTTTAAACACTTTAAAATAATTTAAATTAAAGTTTTAAATTTAAATGATTTTAAATTTTTTATAAATGCAAACATAATTATGTTCTTTTTTTTTTAGTTGCCTTTGTTATCACTTAATTAGTTTGCTTACTGTTGAAACATGGTTTTAATTTTGTAAATTTAATGATATGAAATTTACTCTATTAATCATTAGTTGACAGTTAAAGAGAAGCTGGAACTTTACATAATAAAGGTAAAAATATTTTTGTTTACTCTTAGATAAGAGTTAAAAGAGAATTAGTACATGGAGCATCAATAAAACTTATATAATTACTTTTTAGTTAAAAAAAAGTAATTATATAAGTTTTATTAATGCCACAATTGATAATGACCATGTATATAAAAAATTTTATGAGCTGCTTGGTATTTTATAATTAAATTGTTCAATATTGTAATCAATAAAATCTTTTTAGCTCAAGTATTTTAGTTGATAAAATATCTTAATTTGTGGTGTTATAC